AAACATAGAGTCCCAGTGCTATTATTGGAACAGCTAAAGGTTCAGTGCTCCCACCACAGCGGGCGACTTGCTGAGCCATCCAAGGTCCCGCCACTTCAACTCACTGGAGGCGCAGTCACACTGAGGTCAGGGGCTGACCAGCCAAATGGAGAGCTGAGCTGGTGGGGAGCCTGCATCAACCTGTGGTGAGTGACAGGAGTGGAGCCATTCCACAGAAAGGGGGCTCTGGCAGACGACATTCTGGAACCAGGCAGGACTGGCAAGTACAAGGGGCAGCAGTGACTTCAGTCAGTTGTTCCCTTCCTGAACAGGATTGGTGGAGTGAGCTAGGCCTGGGTAACGCAACCTGGCTGAGACACAATAGGTTATCTGAAATCAATTCCCTACAGCAGCAGCACACACTAAAACAGTAAAGCCTCAGAAATTTGACTGACCTGGAGGGGAGGTGGCACACAGTAATACAGTGCAGGCCTCAGCAGCTTGACTGACCCTGAGGGGAGGGGCCAGCATATGCTTCCCCTGTCTGCAACTCACTAGCACACTGCATGGGAAGGGTCACCTAGCCAGCATGCTTCAGAAGAATTGTAACCAACAAAGAAAGAAACTGAGGCCTCCTGGAAGAAACAAAAAAGATGGGAAGAGGAAGCAACAACACAAAGTCCCCAGGTCCCAACTCTGAGAACATTGACCCAGGACAGGTAAATACAAAGGAGAATGAGAACAGCAAACATGCAATATCAGACACGGCGCCAGTGGACATAAAGAGATATCTTTGGGACCTCATAGACAAGTTCAAAAGGGAAATATTTAGCCAAGTAAAGCAAGATTTAAGATTAATAAAAGAGAGGCTAAGCACCCCTCAAGCAGACACAGACGGAAGAAAGGAGGAACTCAAACAAAGGAGAGAACCATTTGATGAAGAATATAAAGAAAATATAGAATACATGAAGCAGATTCAAAGAGATTTCCAGGAAATTAAAAACTCTATGGAAAGATGGCAAATCTGCCTGAAAGAAACTAAGGATAGATTATCCAAACTGGAGGACAGGTTTGCAATGTGGGATTATGAAAGGAAAAACTTTTTTAAAATAACAAGGAAACAAGCAGTAACAATACAAAGCTAGAAGATAGGGGCTGGGGATTTAGCTCAGCAGCATAAGTGCCTGCCTTGCAAGTGTGTGGTTGTGAGTTCGATCCCTGGTACCGATAAAAATGAAAAAGACAAAAAAAAAAAAAAAAGCTAGAAGATGATAAGAGAATCTATAACTTGAGAGTAAAGAATGTGCATGAAGAAGCAGAGGTAGAATCAAAGGAACTACAAAGGCTATTCACAGAAATAATTAAGGAATACTTCCCAAACATAGGAAAAGGAAATGATATTCTGATGTATGAGGCATACAGAACACCAACCACCTACAACCAAAACAGAGCTACACACAGGCATATAATAGTGAAGATCCCAGAAATTCAATATAAGAACAGAATATTAAAAGCTGTTAGAGACCAAAAAAAACCAGATAACCTATAAAGGAAGTTCCATCAGAATAATAGCAGACTTCTCGCCACAAACCATCAAGTCAAGAAGAGCCTGGAGTGAAATATTCCAAGTCCTGAAAGAAAATAACCTCCACCCCAGATTGATATACCATGCTCAACTGTCTCTAGAAATTAATGGAGAAACAAGATGCTTCCAAGACAAAGAGGAACTTGGGAAATTCGCAACCACCAATCCAACTCTACAGAGAATACTGCAGGGCATTCTAGAGAGAGAGAGAAAAGTACTAGGATTCCAGGAACAGCAGCAGAGAGGCCTCAATGAATGGAAAAGGAAACAGAATGAAGAAGATAAGCAGACAACTGATGGCCAAAAAAAAAGAGCATAACAGAAATGAAGCAGAGAAGGTTGATTATAATCTCTAATATAGATGGCATTGATACACTAAATTAAAAAAAAAACACGTGCAGTAGATCAGGAAGCAGGGTCTACCGAGATGCTATTTATAGAAAATATAATTAACATGAAAAAGAGTACATGGACTGAAAATCAAATATGAGAAAATAGTGCTCTATGTGACAGAGAACCAGAGAGTAATAGGGGCAAATAGACTAGTATTTGTGGATAGGTTGGAAAGACAGGCTTTAATAGGTAAAAGAATACAATTAGAGATCAAGTCCAGGAGAGAGAAGGTTCAGAAACACTTAGGTAAATAGCAGGTCCCCCCCCACCAATTTAAAACCAAGGGTCTTCTTCAAAAATGCACAGTGTACCTGGGGAAGTGAAAGGGGAGGGAGAGTCTTAAAAAAGATGGCAAAAGATATTGTTAATAGTGTATCAGGATTTAAAACCCACATTACTCCCACCACTCTGCTTAGATAGATTTTATTCTCTTTTTTTTTGATAGATTTTATTCTGTCCCAGTTTGTCTACTGGCATTAGATTTGAGGGCACAGACAGCTATCCAAAAAAATCAGAATATAGCATAGTAATCATCTTTAATTTCCTGTTATCTTAATCTGGATCCCTGTATGACTTATACTGTTTTATTATTACTGATATTTAAATCTGATTTGTTTGATTGCTGTTTGGTATTGACAGATTTTATTCAAAACTGATATGACTGATGGTATCAAGTCTGAGAGTATAGGCAACTACACTGAAGATGACAAGACTCTACGATACACATTCTGGTTTGATAACTGCCTGTTTTTGAAGTTTTATACTATATACAAAGTTGTGTTTTTATTAATACTGTTATGTACTGATATATCCAATTATACTATGTCTGATAATATAGCCAATTCTATTGAAGATAAAGAGACAACACAGGAACTATGGTAGAACTCCTTGTACAATGGTCTTATATGTCTTTTTCGTTTCATGTGTTTATAGGAATATGTTTTGTTTTGTCTTGCTTTGTTTTGTTTGTCTCTCTCTAATATAGAAAGGATAGAAATATGTTAACACTCGTGCATGTTAAGAATCTATAAACAGTTTATGAGAACTGATCTTATGACACATGATGAAATGAACAGATACTTTGAAGAAAAAGAGACACTAAAGTACCCAGTACTGATCCTTGAGTGTCATAATGTGAAATCTAACAATAGTATTATTCTTTGTTCAGAGTGATATTAGCCCGCTTGGGTTTATTCAATATCAACATAATTAAAGATATGGATAACTGCATGTATGTTTAAGTGTATAGGATTGATAACCATATTTCTAAGTTTTTGTTGGATAGCTGAACAGAACTGGTTGCAGTCTCACTGTTTGAATCCCCTCTTTACATGCTCCACTTTAGTATCTTGAATAACTATTTATAAGAGGACAATCTGTAATCATCCACTAGTGATTTCTTACTGTTTATTTTTTCTTTGAAAATATGTATTATTTCTACCCATTTTCTGTTTTGTTTAGTCTTTTGTTAAATAAAATGTATTTTAAAAGATCTCAACTTGTAGATTTCAACACAAGAAAAAATATTTAATAGTCAATCCATTTCAATGTTTAGATAAATGACCAATTATTATTAAATATAAGGTTTAAAAATAGTCAAAACTTAGCATCACATAATGTAGATACTAATCTCATGGATCTATAATGTCTTATAATGGTTTTTAACAAATTAAATGCATATCGGTATCACAAGTTTAACAAGTCATTTTCTTAGAAAGCATTCCTGCAACGTGGCTTGTTATTTCATTTTAAATACTTCCCAAAAAAGACTATCCTTGAGCCACATCTGTCTTTACAGCTTGGAGTATATGGCTTTTAGGCTGATACAGAACACCCACTTTTTATGTTCTTTTTCAATGTTCTTCTAGTGAGGATTTTCTTAGGCTTATAATTTGATAGTTTAATTAAAGTAAATGAATTTATTTTAAGAATTTAACATCAATTATATGATAGTTATACCGAAAATTATGCAACCAACCAATGTATAGTTTTTGTTTGGAACCTAACTTCAACAATAGTTCTTTAAAAAAAATATCCAAACTGTAGGATAATTTAATTTACCACATGTAGACAAGGACTCATATAAAACATTTTGTTGCTTGCCAGGTAATTTAGGGATACCTGTTTTCATATTCTTGATCCAGGAAATGCTATAAGAAGAAATGGGATTTGAAGTCCATTGCCAAAGCCTCTGATCAGCTGATGAAATCCCCTGCAGAGTGGTACCTAGACCTTAAGCTGGCTTTAAGATCAGTCACTTTGATTCTTAAGACCAAAGTGGCCTTAAGATCAGTCACTTTGATTCTTTGGCACAGGTGCAGGGGGTGGGGGGGACCATCAAGCAGAGTTTGAACCTAGTATCAATGTCTTTGATTCTCACTGCTGTCTTTGATTCTGATACTGCTGTGAGCTAATATTTCTATGATGCTAATATTGTGTCAGAATATTTCCAATGCTTGGTGGAGACATTTAATAGGTACATTCTTCTCCCAGAGAGCTATTGTAAAGTTGATAATGTGCCTTATGATGGATGATATTTTGAAATTGAAGAAATGTGGAATTTATGCTACCTCTTGCTTTGAAAATTGCTAGACTAGCTTTGTTATCTAAATTATGATTAGATGGTTTAGTCCAAGGATCATGTTTCAATAAGGGGCAAGACACAATCTATTATTTGGTTGGACAAAATTAGCAGCAATTCTCTTTTAGTTATATTATCTTGAATGCAATCAAGAGGTAGTCGTCCACCAAATAGCCAAGGCACAGCTCAGCGGTGCTTTGTATGTTATAACAACTAGTGAAAGAATCACAGGAACATACATATCAAGGCCATGGAATCCCTGCTCTTATCCTCTTCTCTAGAGTGCAGGCTGCCATCTCCTCAATAAGTCTTGTCATTTCAAATTACCATGAATAAGAGGGCCCAAAACTGATCAGTCTCTTTTGGGATCTAAGATTGATGAAGGCATATAAAATGTAACGCAAGGTGTGGTCAGGATGTGTATATAAGAACATTATGATTCACTCAGTAATCTTTCCACAGGTTTAACAATTGTGTCTACACATACCGAATCTTCAAAGTGAAACATGGGTATTACAACATACAGGTAAGACTATAGAAGCTCCTCCCACAATGAGACAAAGATTTGGAGAGGGGAACCTGAGACCATCTTTTCTAAAAGGGAAGTACCACATAGACTTAGCAGCCAGATCAATGGTTATCTTTATCTTTTTTGAGAGAACTAGGAGGCATCAGATTTGGGTTCCACACTGGAATAATCCTACTGTAATTCTAGAGTGCAGAAGCATCTAACTCTACTTCCTCTATTGGTCAACTATTCTAACCTGTAGTCCATTCAAACCACTGCTAAATTAGAAAATTAAGCCAGACACCTAGTGTACATCTGTAATCTCAGCTACTCAGGAGGCTGAGGCAGGAAGTTTGCAAGTTCCAAGTGAGGCCTGTCCTCAAAGCAAACAAAAATTTTTTTAAGAGTTGGGAGTGTGACTTAGTAGTCTTTGTGTTCAGTCCTAAGTAGTGGCAGTATCATAGCCAATAAGTTTTATCTGAGGTACAATTATTGCTAATTGAAAATTAAGTAGTGGGGGGAAAGTAAAGGTGGGGGACAGACAATGATGCAGAATGGATGTGGAAGGGGAAGTTAGGAGAGATACAAATATGAATGTTCAGAAATTTAAACGTATTCCATGGTTATAAAGGGCATATCAGGTAACTGCAAGCATTACAGAGTTGTTTAATTTTTCTGGTTTGCTGAGAAATGAACAGAAAATCTTTTTGCTTTTCCTGAATTTAGTCAGTTGCTTTAAGAAAGCACATTAAGTGTAATAGACCTTTAGTTACCAACAAAGAATCTTGAAATAATCTTTCCCCAAAATTTTACATAAAAGGTAAAGCAAAATTTTTAACTACAGTGCTTCTCAGAATCTTCAATATGCTTGTGTTCATTGTGACTATCTGAAAGAGAACAGACAATTCAGTGATTCTCAAACAATTTAGGACTATAACTTTTTTTTGCTGTAAAGGACAGTCTTGAGACATTTGGAAAATTTGAAAAAAAAATTTGTAAAAGACTAGCAAATAATACAGGATCAGGTTAATTTCCTGCTCTTAGTCATTTTAGTGCTGGCAGGAAACACTTTTACCTTTTGAAAATCCTAACGTGGCTTAGACTTAGAGGGATCTCATGTCTGTAGTTTAACCCTAGAAAGATTTTTTTTTAAAAAGAGTATGTATATAATATGTATATACACATGCAGATATATGTACATATATTTAAAAGTAAACAATAAAAAGCAAATAAAAGGTGTTAATATTTAGTGTGAGGGTGAAGAATACACGTAAGAATTTTTGTTGCTCAATAGTTTCACAGCTTTTCTGATTCTGAAGTTATTTCAAAATAAAATGTCTTCTAAAATGCAACTTATTTTAAACCATTTCTTTCTTCACTTGCATACACCAGGAAATTCTGGAAAATTCCTCAGTCCTCTCTTTTGTCTCTTGTTTGGACAGAGAGGCCTGTACACTGTTCTAACTCAGATGCAAAGGGACATTTTACTAGAGATGTTTGGGTTAAAGTGACTATGTAAAAGGACCAGCTCCCACGGCAGGTATTACAGTGGTTAACCATGCAGCATGTCAAAATGTCCCGACCATCACCTGACATGATGGCCATATGAGAACCACAGTGACACTCAAGAAAGCCAAATACAGAAGAACAGAGGGAGCAAATTCCTCATTTTTAAATTATGTCTGTAAGATTATACCAGAAAGGAGCATTTGACTTCTAGCTGGCAGAGAAGTCAACTATTTACAACTTAACTGGGTCATGTTGATGTTTCTGATTTCAAAAATTTTTTTTGTTTCCTTGTGTTTTCTGTGAGAGGGTCCTGCTCTGTAGTTCAGGTTGGCCTCAAACCCTCGGCAAACCTCCTGCCTCAGCCTTCCAAGTGCTGGGATTATAGGTGTGTGCTACCACACCTGGGTCCTACTTGCAGTTTGGATTGGGACCTTTCTTTGACCTTATTCTTCTCACATGGAAATTCTGAATTCACTGAGCATGCACATTGTGTATCTTGAATTTCCCATCAGAAGTCCACCTCTGTTAGCCCCCCCTCAATAACAAAGCCTGGCACCATGGTGGCACAGACTCTGACACAAGGTCTCAGAGGGACACCCTTTAAAATATATCTGAAACAAGAACAAACTTGCCAAGGACTAGTCTCATGCCACACTGCAGACTGGGTTGAGGACCTTTGGACCAGTTAGTTTATTGGCCTTAAAAATAAAGAATTTCTGGTCAGGGTCATGAACAAGACTCTGCTTCAAAATAAATAATGAGAAGGGATTACGGACGTAGCTCAGTGTGAAGGCACTAAGCAGTTCAGCCTCCAGTCCCACCAAACAAACCCACTGTTTCTGTCAATGGCAGTTGGTATGTGCTCTTCTGCATGAACTGCTGGCTTCTTGTTTTCAGTTTGTCAACCTAGAAGCATCCCTTAAAACCACTGTTTCAAGAAGTGTCACATTTCATACACAATTGCATGATGCCGAGTGATCCCTTTTGTTGTATTTTTGCAGAATACGGAAGGTGCTCGAAAAATGATCTTTCCAACCCTGAAGGAATTGGTCTCCAAATTTGAAAAACCAGATCAAGGACTTGTGTTTCATCTTTCAAAGCCAATTAACAGACCCAGCCTCGGTCTGAGACACAGGACATCACAATTAGCCTCGGAAAATCTTTATGGTAAAAGTGTTCAGAAAGGAATCTCAATCCCAATTTCACCTAAGGTCTTCTTTGCAGAATCTATACAAAGAGATGCTCTTTTCTATGACATTACTTCTGAAAAGAGTCATACTAAGACAATTTCCACTTTGTTGAGAACCAGTGTTGCAGTCCCCGAAGGTAGCCAAGACATAGAACCAGGGAAGCAAAAGTGGTCCCTAGGTAAACAGATGATTTCAAGTTAACTCTCTGACCTTGAGCAAATCACTCAAGTTTGGGAATAAATGGGCAGATTTTTAAATGAGAAAAACACTTCAACTCTGTCCTGAAGACTTATTCTGTCACAGTTTACTCAATATTTGATAATCTTCATTTATAAAGAGATAGGTGACAAATTATTTCAGACGCATTCCTAAAGGTATGAAGCCACAGTGGAGGATGAAAGATGGTCAGGAAATGTGAGGGCAGGCAGTCTCCGCCAAGAACTATCAGTTCATATCACTCTTGATTAGCCTAAACCCTTGAAATCTGCCCTCAGAAAAGAATCTAGTATGTATCAATGGAAATGCAATGTGGATTGAACTTGGATTTCCAGAGACATTTATGGTTTGATCCTGATATTCCGTAGTGAAAGACGTGGCTACATTCTCAGTGAAAAGGACCACAGCTCTTGCTGATGGCAGGTGATGGCGATCGAGGCAGGTGTGCTAACCAGTGAGGACAGAGTTCTTAGGGACATCTGCCCATCAAGGTTCTCATCTCCCCCAGCAAAACTAAGGATGGAGTGTTAATGCTTAAAATACGCCCCCTCCGTTGTTTCTCTGTCCTCCCAGCACCATGCAGGAGTGTGTGCTCCTTGGTGCCAATCAGCTGGGTTCTGCTACAGCTGTATCCTGTACTCTGTAGCTATTTTGCGCTAAGCGGCATAAAAGGTGGCAGAGGTAGAAACCAAGGAATGTGCCTAAGCTGCGGCCCCTGGGCAAATCCAGATGAGTTTCTAGAGGTGAGAAGGGTGGTGGCAAGTGTTTGTCTAAGCAATAACAAAATAATCACAAATCCAAAGAGGAGAAAGACCCACTGTGAGACCATTCCCAAGAACTGGGAGAGAGCCTCAGCACACCACCTGTCTATGCTGGAGAACTGTGTCACCAGTGAGCACTGTACCCCATTTCTGGAGGCTCAGCACTGGCAGAGCAAGCCTCCAGATACCCACCTGCAAATGGGGAAATAGCCTCCCATCAACCCATTCTCCTCCCCTTCACCTCCTTAGAACAGCGTTCAGCTACTCTTACTCTGGAGACGGCACAGGTTTCCTGCTGGTGCTGGCAACTGAGACTTGGCTTATAAAAGAATCTTCTCCAGGAAAGCCCTTGCCAATGTCACTTTTATGTGGCATCAAGATTGCCCTATGTCCTAGTCTTCTTTCCCTTGAGTGGGGTTGGTTGATGTGACTTCTAGGCGTAGTCTCACGGCTGATCTCTGCTTTCTCCCGCAGAGAATGGGGATTATGTAGAACTCTTGCCTTGAAGATGAGGAGAGTGGACAAAGCCAGTGAAAGAAGAAATGGGGTACAGTGGTCACTGGTGACACAGTTCTCCTGCAAGTGTTGGTCTGTAACAACAAACTGTAGTGGACACTAGAGACTCTCCTGGTTTGATGAACTGAAGATCTTCTGCCTCCCAGCCACACCTCCACCTCACAGACATACAGCACAGGAAGTTCCAGAGTCTTCTGCACTTCTCTCTCTTCTTTTCTTGGAGTGAGACAGCCCGAACCTCCTCTCCCTGGCGCTTAAATATTTCATTACATCACAGTAGACACCTGCTTTCCAACAGGTAGAGGGGCAGCTCCAGACAGAGGAAAGAGCATTTGGCAATGAGTTCAGAGCCCTAAATTCCAGCCCAGTGACTGTGTCTTTTGACAAATCTCTCCCTTTAATCTAGGGCTCAGTGTCTTCATCTCTAAGACAAGTGGTTGGGTGGAGTGATGCACACCGTTGTACTCTTTTTGTTGAGCCTGGTTTTGTCAGGTAGAGTTGGAGAATGGAGGAGCAATGGAAATGTGCTCAGGTCAGCACAAGGTCTTAGCCTCCCACCACGCTGTCTGTAGCTCCCTGTTCTGGTCTTCATCATGGCGAGGGTCTTGATCTACCCACCACCCCTTCTGCCTTCAGCCTGGAGTGTTCTCCTCCAGTCTTTTTTTCTTTTCTCTCATTTTGATCTTCCTGCTCCTGCTCTAGATGCACTTTTCCTTTATTTTGCTTAATACAATTTATGCGTGCTAATCCCTTCCACAGTATGGATGTGGCTCTGTACACTGGGGTTATCTTAAAGATACCCTTCTAAGTATGATCCCAATTCCCACCTAGGTCCTAAGTGCCATTCAAGCATGGTTGGGTGGCCTTTGTGTCCACCACGTTGTGGAAATATTTGCCACAGGGATCAATGGCCCCATTCATATAAATTATCGGACTAAGAACACATTTCTGAAGATTTAGTCAATTTAGCTTTAGGGTCTAGTGAATTTATCAGGTCTGGTAGCCTGGCATGTCAACCAATTCCATGTCCTTGCTCTTACCCATCTTCAAACCATAGTGGTTCATTTCATGCCCTTGTTCTTACTTTAAAAGTTGTTAAACAGAGGAACTCTAGATTTCCAGATAACATAGAATGACACTGTGGCTAGCTCATTGTGAATTCTTGGGTCACAACATCCTTGACTACTACCACGTAGAGAAGAAGTGAAATGAGGTCCCATGCTTTGTTTTGTCATATTTGGTTTTATTTTCTTCAAAAAAAAAATAAGAACTATGGGAGTAATAAAACCCAAAATGTGTAAATTTTGTTGTAAAAAAGAGAGGAGAACAAATGTGCTCTAAAGGATACAACTGCAAGTGTGTTTAGGTGTGTTAAGATAGATGACCATATTACTGAGTTTTTGTTGGTTCACTGAACACAACTGTTTGTAGTCTCACTGTTTGAATGTCCACTTTGTATGCTTTAATCCTGTAACTTGAACAACTATTTCTAAGATGACAATATGTAATCTATTAACTAGTGATTTCTTACTGTTTTTTTTTTTTTGTAATTCTGTATTACTTGTGCCCTTATACTGTTTTGGTTTTTTTTTTCCTTTAAATAAAAAAAATGCAGTCCCACTCAGAGGCCTGAGGAAGGAGACACCAAGTCACTTCAGATCTCCTGCTATCAGAAGCAGTGCTATGATGAGCAGCCTTGCACAGGGCTCCTTATGAAGCTGCGAGACTTTCTTCAGTGTTTGGGTGGGCCACAAAGACTGTTCAGACTTAATTATGGTGTCAGCAAACCCAGAAAATATTTTTTTGCCTTACACTTTGTGGTTTTTTTTTTTTTTTTTTTTTTTTTTTTTTTGGTTTGTGCTGAAGAAAGAAGTCTTCCCCACTCTGAAATCATGAGAAAATTATATTTCCTTCTGTTGTTTTTATGATGTTACCTTCCTTAGTCTGTTAACAGTGGCAAGACTTTTCTCTTTTTTATTGGTGTATTGCCAGTGTCCAGAGAAGTCTTTCATATAAACTAGACGTTCAACAGATGTCTGTTGTGTAAATTGGGAATCCAGGGTTAACTTTTGCATTAGTAAGAGGTAAGAATCTAGCTATGTGTTTCTCCAAATCTATTGAGTCAGTTTTCATTCTGCTTAATAATTCACTCCCTGCCCCCAGATTGTGGTTCCTTCTCTGTACAATATTATACCACAAGCACACGGCCAGCCTGGCTTTGGGGACAATTACTTATCGCTTGTCTTATTATTTTGTCTTAATAACTTAATGTCTAATAAGTATAATAAGTGCCCTCTTATTTTTCAAAGCTGACAGTAACTTTTGGACATTGATTGCTCCATGTATATTTTAGAATAAATATATTAAATTGCTCAAAATCTTTTGCTGTAATTTTGGATGAATTTGGCATTAATGAGTGGAGTAATTAGGACAGAACTGGCATTCTTGCATTTTTCCTGGTGTCAATATTCCACATCCACTTATTGGGACATTGTTTTTATTTTATGGAATTATAAATTTTCACCATAAAAGTGTTAGGTAATCTGTTAGATTAATTCCGAATTTTTTGGTTGTTATAAACTATGTCCTATATTGTGTTACATTTCCAATAGTCTATGGTGGTGGCAAAATATTTACTGTCTCATTAGATCTACTGGTTTACCTGCTCAGTCTATGGTATTTTCTATGTAAATGATCCATCATTCATAAATAGGAGTATTTTGCTCTCTTTCAATGCTTACACTTCTTATTTATTTTTAATGCTGACTTCATTGTCTCAGGCTTCCAGTGTATGCTGGTGAGCAGTCATGACAGCGAACATTCTTGTGTTGTTTGCAATATTATAAAGGATGCTTAGACACTTTCTCCATTTAAGTATGATATTTGTTGTGTTAAATAAAGAGCCTTCCTTGAGGCTCTTTTAGAATTTTTGTCCAAGCAGTTTTGAAAATTATTGTGTCTTTTTACATCTATTGAGACAGTCATGTTTCTCTCATCTACACTGAATTATAGAGTTAAGTTACTAAGTTAATACTATTGCTATCACAGTATCCTTACATGGCTTAGCTTGATAATGTTCTAGTACTACATTTAATAAACAGTTGGACTGATTTTTGCCTTAAACTTCATAGAGGAAATTGAAGTATAATTTACTGAATGCAGTGATGCATTGGTTCACTTTATCACACAAGTGAATTAAAGTCTTATTCCTTTATCTATTTTCTGAATAATTTTGTAAGTTGAGGATTACCTGTTCATGGAATTTTAAATTATTTTCTTATAAAATTGAAGCTCTGAAGAGGAGGAAGTCTTTTATTACTACATAAGTATCTTTAATACTTACTGGTTAATTAGGTTATCTTGCCAATTTTCACATTATTTCTCTAGGCATTTTTCCATATTCTTTAAGCTTCCACAAATATAATTGTACTTTTTATCATTTAATGCTCCTACTGTGACAATAATATCTCCTTTAATCTGTATCTTATTTTTGGTTTAGTTTTTATCAATCAATTTCATTAGTACTTTCAAGTCCAGCTTTTGGTTTGTTAATCTTTTCTGTTATTGATTTTAGGTTGTTATTCTTTATTTCACTCATTTTAGGGGCTCATGTGAATTGTTTTGGAATAATATGTTTAAAGCTATGGATTTAGCTCAAAGTACTGCATTAGCTCTACCCTACAAATTTTTAATAGGACCTATTGCTCAGGCAGAGTATTTTAACTCCCATGACAACACATTTGCACCCAAGGGCTGTTTGGTAGCTTGTAGTTGTCTTCAAATATGCGTTTGTAGTTCTCATTTTAGGACAACTTTCTAACTAAGTTGTATTAAAATTAGGTAACAGGTTGATTTCCCCTTTGGAGGGTTCCTTCCTTCCTTGAACCTGATATGTCTGAAGTATCCTGTAAATTATTGCATGATGTGTTCAGGATTATAGGTGATGTGAATAGTTTCATAAACGTGCTGATTTTTTTTTACCTATTTGATCTGAGTTGAAGAGAAATAGATCTCCCAATTTAACTCACTATATGAAAGACCTTCGTTTTTCTGTTCCAATAGTTGTGACATGGATTTGTCTTTATTGTTTTTGTTATTGTTCTCATTTAAATTGGCTTGAAGTTGCATTCTTACATGTATGTATTTTTATAAATATTTTCTCATCTTGATCTGTTTCTTTGTTTTGATGAAGTATTCTTTTTATTGTTTTGATTTTTGCCTTTATACTTCATGTCATACTAAAATTACTCCTCTGGTTTCATTTATAGTTTCCCAGTGTACAATTTTTTATCTCTTCATTTTCAAAGTTTTTCATATCTTTTATCTCTGTCTTCTGTAAACAAAATATTGCTGGATCTAATCTGTTTCCAAAACAAGATTTCCTCCTTTTGTTTGGTGAGTTCTGTGCACTTCAACTAACGATAATTTATCCAGCTGGGATTCATTTCTGCCCTCTTACTGCCTTCTGGCTATTTATTGTAATTTTTCTTTTCTGATATCTATTGAGTAAATAAAATTTCTCGGCAATAATTTGAAAGCTCTACTTAACAATTTTGATGGCTACTTGTACAGACTCAAATTTTTCTTTTTCTCTACAGTGTTATAAATGGCTACTCTCATTTGCCTTCTATCACAAATCTTACTTGACTTTGTGATATCTAAAACTTTAATTATGATTGTCTATTCCTTTTGGATCCTTTATCATTTAAATTGCAATAAGCTTGTGAGCCAACTAGCCTTTTTTGCTTCTTACATTTTTCAAAATATGTGCTATTTTCCTGACTTTATTTTTCTTCTCTCTGGCTCATTTACTGCAAGAAGATTTTGTATCCTTCCAATTATTCAGGATTCTCATTAAAGCTGGGCTTGAGCAGAGCCTTTTTGCAGTTGTACATGTCCTATGGCATCTTTAGACTCATTTGAACAGTAGTTGAACTAATCTGCAAGTTGTAGGCTTACAGTTGTCTTCCTTCAAAACTATAGGCAAGCTTAAGGCTCTATCACTTTGTGTGTGGATTTCTTATTGAGAATATGTAATGACAGCTGGGTTCTCCGTAGCTGATATTTTATTCTGAAAATTTTATAAAAAGTTGCTCCATCCTTATGCTCTTAAATTTCATCACAGTGTGTCTGTGAGTGTTCCCTTCTCTGTTCAGTTTGGAACTCTACACTATTTCATTTCCAGTATTTCAATCTTTTGTTACTTGTAAAGAATTCTCACGCTTTTCTCAAAGATTTTTCTCTCCTTTTATTTCTTCTCCATTCCTTGTCAAGAAGTATCATCTAATTTATTTCCTTCTCCACATATTATGTAGTGAATGGTCTTAGGAAAACTACAAGCCTCTTTAAACGGGAGGTAGTATTTATTTTAGAAAGTCCTGTTAACTTTGTGATGAAAATTTTCCTTTGGCAGGAGACCAGAAACTGTAATACCCACATCCAACCACAAGAGGTCAGACAGTCATCAAAAACCGGTATCACTTTTTTAAGCACTACGGAGTAATCATGATAGCTATAAAACCCGATTCTTTTGTCAGGTATTTTCCAAACAGTACTCACCTCTCAATGGAAAGTTTCATTTCCAGTATCTCTAGCAAGATTAGGGTTTGATCCAGCTTTCTCTGAGCTTGAGATAAAATCACTCCCATCACTCCTCTTTCAGAAGGAAATTTTTGCAGTTCGGAATCGATGACTTATCTAAACCCTTAAAAATGAACGTCTCTCAGAGGAACTGTTGCCAGCTCTGTCACTTACTGGCAGCGTGACTGTTAGAAAAGTGTTTATAATCCCGACACCTTTGGTCAGACACATCTCAAAACGAGGATACTGACTGCCTTCATTAGGGTTATGGAGGTGACTCCAGGAGAGCACACTGCAGGAGTCACCAGCTGAAAGATTAGGACCATTCTTACTTCCTCGTCTTCCAAACAAGAGGTCAGGGGAGGGGTCTTCACATGTGCATTCCACATGAATATTCGGAGTTCAACGAAGTTACATTTTATCCTTGAAGAAGATTGCAGTCAAAAAAGATACTTAAAAGCCATGAATATTTCCTGAAATTCTTCATCACATTGGGATGGAAACTGAGGAGAGCTGTGGGTGGGTGACTATTCCTCAGATCTGAAAGCCTAGGACTTCTGGGATGGTTCTGCTTCTTACTATTCCTAAGCTCCACAAAAATGGGACTGAGACATCCACCTCCCAAGATATGAGGACTAATGGACCTCTTTAAACACTACCTGTATCTGAAAAGAACCAAACAGGCTTATTAAGATATCCCCACAAAGTTACTCAGAAAAACAAGAAATGATGTATACAAATTGATTGGAACAATCCCTGGAGTACATGGGAGCTTTAGAGATACAACAGTAATTAATAGCAGTGCCTTGAATGGTAAAGTATAACATTAAGAAGTGGAACTCAGAAGCAGCTACCAGGTTAGGCAGGTGGCTGGTACTGAAATGCAACTCGTCTCACATTCTGCTGGACATATGTGCCTGCTCCTGCCAGCTGTGTGGCTAAGTGGCACCTGTTCGGGGAACAGAATTAATGAAGGCTTTGGCTGGAGATAAATGAGTTAGCTATGCATCAGCCCATTAATCATTTTCCATTTTGAAAATGATTTCCAATAGCCCTTCGTTGTGCAGCTCATGATCAGATACAAAAACCACTTGTGGAAGACAGACTGAAGGAGATAGCTCTTGTCCACCCCAGACCCTATTGAGCCCTGCCTGGCCTGTTGTACACACAGAAATTAAACCCTAAGTTCCTTGAGTTTAGTTCAGTTCAATCACACCTTTGCAAACTCCTGTGACTTGGCAGACACTGCTGTGAATGGAGGAGCCAGAGATGAGGAAGGTGTGGACCCCAGGCCAAGAGACTGGGGAACAATGAGAGTTGGCTACTCATGGTGCCATGTGGCAAATGTCACAATGGAGGAACATGTAGGATGCTAGGACGGGAGAGGTGTGGAGGTTAGGTCGGAGAAGCAATCATGGAAGAAGAGATGCTTGGGTTGAAATTTGATGAGTTAACATGATGGAAGTAGGAGCCAGGTAAACAGACCGCCTTGAACAAAGGCCTGGAAGTAGCTGAGCTGATGGGAGTCCTTACCTCCTGCAGCAGAGGAGGCCACGGCAGGTGCAGCTGCATGGAGGCTAAGGATGCCCTAGAGGGCTGAGGACCTAACATGGCTCATGGGCTCCACGGCAAGACTCCCTCTGCTGGTCACAACATAAACTACCTTCAGAGTCGCAGGTTGAGCAGGGCCAGGTGAACAGGGCTGCTGCTAACCCCAGCCTCACCTCTGAGCTGTATTTCACTACCAGATGGCTGATGCAGCCTCTCCAGAAGGTTCAGATCCTAGAACTGTCACTCGTGGGCCAGGTCCAAGGAACATTTACATGTGCGGTGACCCTTCTCGATGCAGAGTACTCAAGATTGCAATGCAAGAATAATCTGTACTTTCATTGTTTGATTGATCATTTTTCCATGTCTAAATCTTGTAACCTGAAAAGCAACTTCTAAGATAACAATATGCAATATATTAACTAGTGTTAATTTCTTATATTTTTGAAATTCTGTATTATTTCTTTTATTTAAAAAAAATTTTTTAAAAAGCAAAAATTAGAAAAAACAGATTGAAATGCAGCACGGAGGGTGGACTGGGGCAGGGTTCTCCTGGTACCAGGAGCTGGCCAGGAAGATGATACAAGATGGGGAGTCCTGACGTGCTCTGAGCTTTCCTGTACAGCAAGCAGGTCTGTCCCCAGCAGGCTTAGGATAGAGAGGGGACTTTTCCACTTTGTCGAATTGCCTAGCCTTTCCAGGGCTGCTGCAGCTCACTCTCGTCCATCCATGAGGACAGCTGCTGTCTCAGGGAGGTCCGGACCAGCCCAAACCACTGCTAAAAGCAGGCTGAGCACCAGGATGCATTTGAACATCAGACCAAGTCAACAGGAGTTACATAATAAACACAAGCCTGGAAAAAATAAGGTGGCAACCATGGAGGACGATTTAAGGAGGAAGATAGCTAAGCAGATGGCACTAGAAACAGCTGACTTAAACACAGTAAAAAAATTTTTTTAAAAAAAATTAAAACAAGTTGCAGTTTGCTGGAGGTTGCTCTTTGTTTTGGGATTTAAAAAATGTCGATGGCAAAGGGAAAACACTGGCAATGTTTCCTGCTCTATCTAACTGACAGATTCCTTAGGCAACTCCCATGAGAGAGAATGCAGCCTGGTGTGCGTTGACTTGATCCTTAAGCTCGCTTCCCCGGCTGTGTTAATAACCAAGTTGCACGGAATGGAGCTTCCCCCGGCTCCCTTGAGCTGGACTATTTATCATGGCAGCAGCTGGAGATAAGCTGGACACAAAGAGGATTTGTGTCTCAGGAGGGTCAGTCCCTAGATACAGAAAGCAGAGGAATTTTCTCATTAGTGGGAAGTCAGCGCTGGGACTTAGGGTTTTATCACATGCCTCCCGTGCAAATGGCAACGAGGAGGAGAGGGTCCTGGGGGTGAAGGACTCCAAGAAGCTCTCACTGGACAACTTGAAGTTTCCGGAGCAGACTTCCTTGGGAGATGAGAGACATTAAATGCCATCTGCACTTACGGGGCTTTTCAGGGGAGGCAGATGTTCCCTCTCACAGGGAGTCACAGTGAGGGGCTCCAGGTGGGGTGTTCTAAGCCCTGGGGTGGGAGCATTGCAGCATGAATGAAGCCCATTGGGATCCCCAGGGTCAAAATCTCAACGGGAAGCATTTGCCTCGTGCTATCACAGTCAGGCTGACCTGGGCGAGTGAGCAGCACAGGGCTGAGAGGACAGATGTTCAGGACACTCCCAGGATTCTGACCTCCAAAGGATTCCACAATCTAAGGGATCTGACCTAGAAAGATTTCTCTGCCTTTGGGGCAGTCTTCAAGGTGCAGTTCTAATGAGCTAATTCCATAAATTTACCATCAGCTGGGGTTCCCCACCAGTACTATTCACACTATGGGAAAGAAATGTTCCCTAGCCGGGGAGTTAGCTCAGCGGCATAAATGCCTGCCTCGCAAGCCCTAGGTCATGAGTTCGATTCCTGGTACCAAAGCAAACCAAAATAACAAAAAAAGAACTGTTCCCCAATGACCTCTGGTTGTGTTTCCTTCAGCAACTGCTGTCAGCCTAGAGGAAATGATTGCTTTTCCATCTGAAATTAATTGTCCCTCTTTGGCATTCCTGCAGCCCTTTAACACATCAGTGTAGAGAGTCCTACGTCATTCCCACCAAAGTCACCACTCTGGACAGCACTCAGCTTGTGATAGGCAGGAATTTGGATATACTGGTTGAATAAATGCATCTTCACCCTCAGCTTCTAGACTAGTGGCTGTTGATTAGCAGAGTGTTGAATAATAATGGTAGGAAAGGAAGGCACGGGAGAGATAGATTTCACACCTGAATGACCACAGAAGCAACTCCTGAAGCCATCCAATAGAAGAGGTTGCCCAAAGAATAGTCACTGGAGCACCATCTCAAAGGAAAATACTGCTATTGTATTTTTAGTGCCTTTGCCCATGCTGGGTTTGTCTCACCTCCCAGAACAATATGTTGTGCCCTACTGCAAGGAAAGCAAGCACACTTGGAAGGCCTAGTGGTTTGCTTCTCATACTTGCTCTGAGAAACCATGTGCAGGAGTGGAACTGATGCAGAAAAGCCTGCAGACCATGTTTCACACCAGAGAGCCTCCTGCTGTGACGTCAGAGGGACCCCAGATGCTGAATGGTAGGATCCACCTGACACAGTCATGGCGGCAAAGGCAAGGGTAGGACACAAAGGACTCATCTTCCTTCCTTTGGAAATGCGTGTGGCTTCTGTGAACAGACAGTTCAGAAGTCCCTTCTCGTTCTCTTCTCCATTTTCTTCCTTTTCAGGACATTAAACGTCTGGCCCTTTCTCTTGTGTGAGTCCTCTGTTCCTTGGATCTGATGGCCCAAAGTGTCACAAAGGGACAAAGAGTATCAGGCAACTCTTGTCCCAGCCATTTTCTCTCAACAAGTGAATGTCAAGGCCGTCCCAGTTCAGGTGGCCCCTGTGAGCAATTTTTCAGCAGTCACTAAGTCTGCAACTCTGGGTATTTTGCTGTTTACTGATGCTGACCTGTTTGAGCACTGGTCCCTCTTGGAAAGAAAGTACACAAATGAATACACAGCTCCTTGTCTTTCTTGGTGTAAGCAGGATGTGGACCTAGGCTGAGAATCGGTGGCCTAGAGGATGACCCAAGAGTCATTGGTATTCTGTCCCAGAAAGATCTTACCTGTGCACATACTGTTCGTCTCCCTGAGCCAGCCAAAGGTGCAGACACTCTCACCAAATCAGTCTGTCAGGGGAACAGTGGCAGTATACCCCTAGAAACTGCAGTCCCCAACAGAGGTGTCAGGCTGGTGGTTCCTCAGCAATGCTCATATGCCTCACATTTTTATTCCCTATTTCTCACTCCTCCAAACTTCCAGAGCAAAATGCCAATGCTCTCCACTCAGCCTTCAGGAAACCACTTCTCCCCAGCAGTCAGGAAGGGAAAAACCAAAGCCAGCAAACCAAACCAAATCACTTTATTGTGCAATTTCCTTCTACCAGAAAAATTTCTAAAAATATAAATATGAACTCTCTAAAAAATACTCAGAATAAATCTGTTAACTTGCTCCTCTTCCAACCTGGGGCCAAATTTGTTCTTTAAAAAAGCTGGCATTGATTGCAAACACGTTTCTTCCTATCACCCACAAGATATGTTTCTCTCTATGTGAGCGGGGAGGGGACTAACCTCCTGCCGGGTTCTGGAAGCTCACCTTGTGCAGGGCAGCGGAGCAAGTGCTTATGGTAAGCGTGGGGGGCAATGGACAGAGACAACGGGCTCCTTCAGTCCTCGTTGTCTTGCCCTCCTGTGGACAGGGCTTCCCAATGACCAAGCTCTCTCTGGAAACTGGTCTTGCTAACAGGGATGTGTGGGGTCAGGTAGCCATGTTGCAACCACAGGAAAATCAGACACAGCACCTCGTGGGGCTTCGGATGCAAGAACTGGTCTGAACGGAGGTACTCAGCAGGATCTGTGGAAGTTGTTCCCACTCTACCCTAGACAGCACTTATTCCGAAGCACATCTGCAGGCAACATCTTCATCATCTAAAACCAGGCTCAGTGTCAGAGGGACTCCTGAGACAGCTGTGTCCCCTCCATGGGAGGTGGACGGCCAAGCTGTAGGCAGCTAGAGGTTGACCCAGGTGCTTAGGGTATCTTAGTTCAGATACGAGTCTGAAGAACTCTGGGTGATGCTGATCCTGGGATAAGCTGGTGAGATCCTTTGGCTAATCTGGGCCTGAGGGCCAGATAACCCAGGAGCAGCCTGAGTGTGGCATGGCAAGCTGGAGCCAGCACCAGCCATTTCTGGCTACTCTACCATCAGCCTGAGGCAGGCATCTGTAGTTTCCCATAAGAAGAACAAACCAAGCATTTCGTACAGAGATCAGGTGAAACCAAGCTTGCTCCCGGATGCATGTTTTGTATCTGTTTGCATATCCCCACATCTGTGTGTTTGGGGTAAAGCCCCAAACTGTTTCAGGAAACCTCATAGAACCCCAAATGGTAGTCCAACCCCGTGGCCAGATATCATATCTTTAGGATGCTCTTGGAGTAAGGCAGAATGCACCATGCACTGACAGCCCTGATCACTCCACCAGCTGCATGGACCCTCGTGAATGGGGAAGGTACAGGACTTCGCAGGGAGTAGGTGGTGAAGCCCTGCTTGTGGAGCAATGGAAGACAGGGGGTTTGGGGGTGGAGCTGAAGTCACACAACTGCAGAAGCAAGAATGCAGGAAGGTACCCACATCCCAGCAACCCCACTGAGGCAGTTCTGCAGGAGTTGGCACAGAGGTTCTGTATGGCAGAGGTAGTGGGAAGGGAAGCAAAAGCTCAGTGATGAATTGAGACGTGAGTCCTGGGTATCCTAGAGCTCATGGGTGGGAAGCCACACAATGAACAGAAGAAGTGGGGAGGCCGCAGGAATCACAGGAGGAAGACTGCTGGAAGAGCCTGACCCGGGTGGCTGTGCCACTGCCAGCCTTCTCCTGAGCACTGGCCCCTTTGTTCAAGAAAAGAGATGTCCTCCTCTTCCTGCAAAGGCCCACTTGGCTGGGATCACTTCGGCATCGCCTGGCCACAGGAAGACAACATGATATGCCCCCTGGTGGAGACAGGAACACAAAAGGTTAACCCAGGAGGGCAGCAACCAGCTAAGCAAGGTTGGGTGAACCCTGTTGGTCTCTCCTCACCCAGGTACTGGGAACGGGCACAGAGGAGGACCAGGGGCATAAGGATAAGTGAGGTGCAGACCAGAGGCCCCTCCAAGAGTGCTCAGCACTGCCGGATACTCAGCAACTTCAGCACGAGCCCCAAGAGCACCTACTGCTGAATTAAAAGTAGTTCCCACCACAATTCTCATCACATCTCAACCTCTCACATACTTCACCCTGGCTCTTGCACTTACCCAGGCCCTGCATGGCCTCATTCTGGGCTGGGGTGGAGGAGTGACCCTGACAAGCTGCTCTCATCCCCAGTGACGTTCTTTTATGTCCTGGCTTTACTCCTCTCTCTACCATCTCTACTTCTGGTTCTCCTAGGCCTACTCCCGAGTGTCCGGGCTCTCCTCTCAAAACAAATCTAGAACATCCTCTGTGTTCCTGCCGGGACCTGCCTAGCCCTGTCTTTACACACAGCAAAGGTAGCCTGATTGTTCTTCTTTGCATGGAGCCCCAGCTCAGACACAACGCTTTCCCAAGTACTTCTCCAAGAGGGGCGAGGACTTTATTCTTCATCTAACATCTGACTGAATGGGGAAAACTTCTGATAGCGCTGGGCAAGAGGTTCAATCCTGGAGTGACCTCGCAAGGTCTCAGGCCCGGTAAGCACCTCATGTGGTCCCACTCTAGGGGCACAGGGAAAATGGCAACCAGGGTCCCACACTGTCATGGGACCAGGGGGAGCCATGGCTGGGCTGTGGTCAGGGTGGCTTTCCAGGCCAGGCCTCATCATCAAGCCAAACCATCACTCCTCACCCAGCCTCATTCTTCCTGAGGCCACCATGGAGAGAGAAGGAACCAGGAAAATGGGAAAGAAAGGAGAAGACAGCAGATAGGAGGTGGGCAAAAGGATTCCTGCAAGATCCATCATCCAGGCTGAGGACCTGCAATTCAGTGGGAAGCTAGGATAAACCAGGAGCTGCAGGCTCCAAAGGCTGCAGCCAACACGTGGGGAGTTAATGGAAAGTTAGGATCAGAGATGGCACCCAAGTCCTTTTGCCATTCTTCAGACAGATTCTTTCACTGGGAAGACTTGTGGGCTTCTGGCCCCATGTGTGGAGAGTCGGCTCCCTGCTGAGTCTCATGCGAGGAAGACTAAGGGCATGGCGGAGCTGGGGCAATGGCCCATGGGCAGTGGGGGAGAAAGCAGGAGGGAGATGCGTGCTGGGCAGGGAGGAGAAGAGGGGCTACTCAAAGGACAGCAGGTCTGGGTGAGGGCCCTCATTGTCTAGGCTGGAGGTCCGTGCCCGAGGACAGGGGTTGCTGTCTTCCCAGGACTCAGCCAGGCTGATGGGGCTCAAGCTGAGTTTGAGGCCATTCCTCTCGATGAGGCCAGAGGACGAGGCTCTTCTGTGTTCTGTCGCCTTTAGCTTGGACTCATCCTGGCTGTCCTTGTGGATTAGGTCAGGTATGGACAGGGATACCTCGCCATTGGCCAGGGCCTCGCCCCTATTTCCCATTTCCACAGTGGCTTCTGGTGGCAAAGCATCTGCTGAGATGGGCTGGGCAGTGGGAGGAGAGTCCTGGGGCTGCCCGGGTGACAGCTCAGTCCCATACTCCAGACTGCTCAGGACAGGCTGCGAAGAAATCAGCATGTCCTGGGTGGTCTTCAGGGCTCGAGGGGTTCGCTTCTTGGTTACGGGGGGTGGGGGATCCAGCCGAGGGAAAGCTTCTGAAGGCGACCTGCGAGGTTGAGGACAATAAACACATAAGCTTTATGGGTGGCAACACACCCATCCATGTTGCATTTTTATTCTTTAACTCCAGTTGCACCTTCAACTCACCCACCCAACAAATATCTCTTGCGTTGGGCTTTTATTCTGACTTTAGGGTAAAGACAGGATAAAGATCCCAGAGATTTGTGTCATACTAAAACCTACCCAAAGCCCCACAACTGCATGATGTCTCACAGGCATAGGTGCTTAAAATGAGGGAGCCTGTCAATAGGCAGGGGAAGAACGGGAGGGCAGCAGCAGGCTGCTCTGTCCCTACACCAGGGAGTCTCATCTAGAGCAAAGGCTCTCAGGTGTGGCTGAGCATCAGAAACCATTAGGGAGCTTCTAGGCAACACGTGTGTTTGACTCCAGCTCTGTGATCTCCAGCTACTCATTTTACAACTCTGTACTTAAGTCACCTGCAAAATGAAAACAGAATCTACCTCCCTGGTCAACAAAACAATGTACTAAAGAGTGTAGACCAGTGCCTAGGACATGTTCCTATGGTCATGGAGGCTGGAGCTGGGTCCGGGAACATGGCCCAGTCTTTTAGCTTTCCTTCAGTTGACCAGTTCACATCCATACCCCATGGCATTGTCCCCTGGTGCATTTCAGTTTGCCCATGGACCACTTCTTCAAGGGGGCTACCAGGTGGGGGTGTGGAGGGGAAGGCTCACCTTTCCTCCTCCGGGCTGGCTCCCAATGCCACATCAATCCCACCAGCTAGGTGGGCTCCAGCGGTCTTGTTGATCTCCATCACACCCACATCGCCCACGGTGGAGGGCTCCTTTCTCCGCAGGAGGTCATTGACTTTGGCCCCCATGGCTTTGCCCAGGTTCTTGAGATGCTGGCTGCTGCCCACCCTTAGTCCTGGCCCACCAGGTTCTGCAGAGCTCAGGGTGGCAGAGCTGGAGGCCACAGGCCTGGACAAATGAGGGAAGGAGTGACTTGACTGCAGCTTTGGAGTCAGGGCTGTGTTCAAATTCTCAAACATGCTGTGGTCAACTATGAACAAAGAGGGGAGCAAAAGAAATGGATGAGCAGGGAAGAGGAGGACCTGGAATCTTATTACTCTACTTTCCTATCTTTACACCACTCCCTAAACTTGTAACTCCATAAGCCTTTGGAAACATTCAAGAAACAGCCAGCAGAAATGCTCCTGAACTCGCTAGTGTAGTTTTCTTTATGGGGCACAAGACCAGAAATTCCAATTCTACCCTACCCGAGTTAATCAGTGACTGGCTCTCACCATCCAAAGGTGAAGTTACTCCTTTACATTGGCCTCCCTAACTTGTGGCTTGACCGCTTTCTCTTGGGGTCAACTCAGCCCTTTGAATTAAAATAAAAATGATGAAGCAATGAGATGGGACATGTCTACACTGCCATAAGCACATGCTGAGCCCTCTGATTGAGGCACTAAGAAGCCAGAGAAAGGATGGCAGGTTTGAGTCTTGGTGGTGGAAGCTCCCTGCTGATGGCCATCGCATGGGAAAGTTTTTCTCCATGGAAAACAGGCCAGCAATTCCTCAGGTTTCTTGGGTGGAATCTGGGAGAATGGTTTAGCTTATATGACAGGAGGCCACAGCTCCCACCAAGCAGATCAGTACTTGGAGCCAGTGAAGCATGACAAGTCTGGCAAACCCTAGATTACATAACCCTCACAGCCACCCAGTAGGGAGGGGTGCATGGTAGGATATCTATTTATACACAAGGAAAGGGCCTCAGAGTGGTTCAGATACAAACAACAAACTCCTGGGGCTCAGACCACAGCACTAACTGCTGGTGGGCTGGGAACAGAACTCAGGTTTTCCTACCCAGAGCTCACACTCTTTCTACTACTTTGCTCTGAATTGGATCACAGCAACAGCTGCCTAAATCTGCTTGGTAGGTGGTCCTTCTCTGGGCATCTCTCCTTGTCTTGAACAGTTAATTTGAAGAGTGGATTGTAAACAGAGTCCTGGCTCATTCATCTTTAGGTCTTCAACACCTCGCCTGGATCTGGCACGTGGTAGCTACTCAGCAAATATTTTGAATTGCCAAAACTCATTTTGCAGACTGAGAATTGTGGAGGACAAGATGGAAACACCAAGGCTTGCTGCTGAAAGGGCTGGAGCTCCAGGCTCTGAGCCATGCTGTCTACACACTGGCATGTGGGTATCCTCTCTCAGCAGGAAATCCAGCTCAGTAAGCAAGACAGCCACAATTCTGAGGCCTCGGACCTAGGCCAAACTTGTCCACACCAACCATCCCAGATATAGTATCAGTGTAGGGGGTGGGCATGTAGGATTCCTAGGTTCCTCTCCCTGGCAATTCTCTCCTGAGAGAAATGGAGGTTAGGATGGACTCTTACTTCTGTCTGGTTCTGGCATAAAGTGGTTTGCCTGCCCTGGACTGCTGAATCCTGGGCCAGGTGGTACACATCTCTTTCATGTGGTTTCACCAGAAACATCCTCTCTAGGCCAACTACCTAGATGAGCCATGTTCTAAGGGTGTTTTGGTGGCAGGGAGAAAGCCATGGAAAGGAGGACAGAGGTCTTATTCTCTGTCATGGCCCCCACCCAGATGGCAGGCAAAAGCTCCCCTGGGGTGGGGTTTGTGCCAGGGGACTTGGACCACAGTATCCCTGGGTACAGATGTGGCCAGCATTCAAGCAGTTCTCAGCGCACTCTCCAACCAGCAGGGCCACCAACTCCTAGTTATTCTGCTAAGCTTGTATCTAGCCACTCATCTAGCCACTTTGGCACAGTTTGCTTGTTGGGTCCCACACCCTTCTCATTTTCTTACTTATACACTCTCTAAGCCAGCCAAGACTACTTGGAAACTAAACAATTTAACAATCATCCCCAAAACCAGCAGGTAAGTATATGGGCACCTAAGGGATTATATGAAGTGCTTCAAAAAGGGGGTGTTGGGAAGAACAAGTCTTCCACCACTTCCTGGGTCAGACATTTCCCTGGTGGCTTCCTTTCTGGTGAGTATTCAGAGCAGACACTCATTTTTAAAGTATAAACACCAAAGCCCCAACTTTATTATTATTTTTAAAACACTATATAACAAATAACTTTGGGATTATGTACCATTTTGAAGCTCCTGTATTTGATGTTCTTTCATTTATAATACAGCCCATAAAACAGACTGAATTCTTAAGCAATTCAAAGATGGCCTACTATGTCCTCACATTACAGATGGTTAAGTCTTTCTGGTAAATACATCTTGACTCTGTAATAAAATGATAAGCTCCTTGACGGACCATAGAATTCTGTGTGTTTTTCAATTTAATTTTTCTCTCTTCTGTAATGCCTGGCTTGAGTTTTGCACAATTCTAGGCTTTTTAAATGTTAGTTTAGTTGAATGTGACCTTTATATTAATTCTTAAAAAGTCTATGTGTCCTAGGTTGACATTGTAGGGGAAATGCCCATAAGTCTGTTTCATCTATATAAAAAACAATCTCAAAAACCTCTCTGCAGGTGTACTCACTGGGGCTCCTAGGCTGGACCAGGAAAAACTGTCCTTCCTTCTGATCTAGGCCTCTGGCTGGGGCCTTCCTCATCCCCACACCAAGGGATGCCCAGGGAGCCCCTTTCCTACTGATGAACTTGAAGACTCCCACACTCTGTCTGTCCTGCCTCAGACATGGAGGCTTGTGATTTAGTAAATAATGGCAGTGGAGGACAAAGAGGTGACTGGGTCCCACTTGGGTGGCCCTCCCAACAGCATCCCTCCCATCATGCACCCAAGCATCACATACCCAAGCAGAGGGGGGAACCTAGGAACATAGATCATCCACAAGAAGGGTATCTTACCTGTCCGAGAAAGGGGCTCGGAAAGCAGGCGGGAAATAAGAGAAAGACACATTTTATGTAGCGACCAATCACTTTAAGAGTGTCACCTCCTGCCTCCAGCGACAACATATGACACAGTATACAGCACACCAGACAGAGGCCCTGAGACCAGGAGCACAAGAAGCCTGAATGACCAGGTTCCCAGAAACTATAATAACTAACCAGAAGACGGTTCTATTTTAACTCTACAAACAGGCTTCCCAAATTTCTCCAATAAGTTGAACCTCCTTTCCATCAAGTATATCTCAGATCCCCTGTTGGCAGTGGGAGATATGAGATGGATTAAGCTTACAGTCCCCTAGGTCCTATGTGTATCCCTTTACACGTACATTATTACCCACATGGAAATCAATAGATCTCAGCCAGGAACACATTCATCTACTCCAATTAGACTCCAACACTATGGAAAAGCAGTGGCAGAAACTTTGGCCACCATCACACAGGCACCTGATGGGTAAGAGGGACCAGAAGTCACATATTCTGACTCCCAAATCCATGGACTTCCTCTACACCGCAGTGGTCCTGTAAATTGCCAACACCCTAAAAGTTTTCAAAGTATATGACTTTGATTTACATCCCAATGTACACCCAGACCAAGCCATGAAACCCTGACAAGCCATGTTCTACCACTGTCTTTCAGATATTTTAGTACTGACTGTAAAAACAGGTGGGAAGACAACTCTGGGCTCTTCCATCTAGAATCTGACAATAAACTCATACATGCTTCACCCTACCATGGAAGGAGCCATCGCCATTGCCACTGCTGGAGTGGACTCTATCTTTAGCCCTCAGCATAAGCATATCAGCATTTATATCTGAAGCACTGATGCATATCTAGTTGGCATGTTCTGAGAATACAAAACGGGGCACCTTGAGCTCATCTACAAAGTATCACAATCATCTTTCATTTGTATTTCACACCCCAGTAGTGTTATGTTATATGACAGACCAAAGCTGAGCAAAGAGGCAGCTCTGATCTCCTGCTACTGAAAGAGCAAAAAATATCCACTGGTGTTTCAGTCACTGACAGAAAGGAGCACCAGTCATTGGAAACAATATGTGGTCCCTATTCTTAGAAAGTGCACATTGAAGTTTTAAGTATAAAAGGATATAATGTTTGTACCTTACCTGTGAATAGTTCGGAAAAAAAATCAAGTATATACACATATACATAGGACAGTGGGGGAAAGAAACTGAGCGAGCAAATAGGGTAAAATGTTAACAGTATGAAAATTTAGATATGGGGCACGTGGGTGTTCCTGTGCTAACTGGTGCTAACTTTATCTTTGTTTTATAAATTTTGTGTTATTTCCAAATAAGATATTAAAATATCTATATCTATATCCATCTTCCAAACCAAAACCCCCAAATTAAAACAAAACCCCAAAAACCCTTTGATGCTAGAAGTTAGGCAGATAAAGAAGAAAAGCAAGGTGATCATTCAGAGAAGACAGAGGACCCCAAGGCTAGGAGAACATGGTGAGGTCTATATGCAAAAGGCCAATAATAAAGGAAGAAGGGGACAAAGACAGCGTCACTTTCTTATCCCTACCATATTCTTCCTTGTCTCAGGGTATTCTCAGCTAGTGCAGGCCACTGTGGAATGGCATCAACAAATCTTTAGCAATTAAAGAGAGACCACAAAATTTTGCTTGGGATAGACCACCTCCATTTCACAGGGTAACCTAGCAGGTCAGTGGAATCATGTGACCTTGTGATGTCAATGTTTCAGAATGTTCATCACCAGGGCAACCTGGCCAGCCTCTTGGGAGTAGGTGTGTGATCTCCATACTCTTGCGGAGGTCAGAATATGGAGAACTTCTCATTCCTTAGCATCTCTGGACCTCGAATCTCTTCCTCTGCCCGGAGCACTTTTCCTGACATTTTGTCCTCATATGCCACCAGCTTGCCAGGTAAATTCTGATACCACTAGGACCACACAGATCGGGGTTTTGAAGCTTTTACTTAAGGACCCTATGAGATCATGTTACAGGACCATGTTTTAGTGAAAAAAGCCAGTTTATACATGGGGAGAAAATAAGCTTTCAAAATTCTGCTTTCCTGGTAAGTAATTCCTACTGTTAAATCATTTCTGGCAAGGCAAAAATACAGAAAATATTTATCAAATTTCTTCCCCTTGGAGTTTGCAAAAAGTATCAAGGTCAGTGGTCTGTGTACATAGAAAGTAGGATTTCAGCTTTGTTTTGACGAGCTAGAAAAGATTTAGACTTCAACCATCAGTGAGTAGCTAAAAGCAGGGTAACTAATGAGAACACTGCAGAATAAAGTGGACTCTGAACACTTTCACTTCAAAACCTGGACCCTAGAGACCTGTAACATCAGCATCTCCTAAAAGCCTGTTAGAAATGCAGAGTCTCAGCCCCCACCTTAGACCCACTGAGTCAGAATCTGCATTTTGAACAAGGGCCCCGTGTGATTCCTTGCATATTAAAATTTGAGAAGCAGTGTTCTGTGGGGTGGTTCTCCTACACATCCTTTTGACTACATAGGATATTTATAAATCCATCCCCCCAACTAAGCCTAGTGACTACCCTGGAATTTAAGGTGGGTCTGCTTTACATGCAGATACCGCAGAGCTCAGCAAAGGCCCACATGTGGGCATGATATTCTAGAGAATGAGGCTTCTCCTGGGTACCAGAGGATGCAAAAGCTCGCAGTGCAGGGTGAAGTCACGCACGTGCTGAGCTGCAGAAGGGTCAGTTGAGGGGTGGGTCAGGCAGACAGATGTCCTCTGGGCCACATTCAAAAGCCCTCTTTCCAGAAGGTCTTTTTAAGGTCTGACTAAAACTGTACCCATTGGAATTCCCCAGGATGTCATCCAGAATAGCGCTGCTTGGCTGGGTTTCAGAGGTTGTTTTGCTTCGGTTTTGAGGTGCTTTGACATACAAAGGGTGAGCCTTTAGGTGCATCTCAGAGAGCTTTAAAGAGAGGGTTCCCAACCTTGCTCAGCTCACCAGTATTTCTTCTGTAACCTAGACATTGCAAAGACAGCGGTACCCAAGGAGGCTGCCAACCCTGCTCAGTCCTTGCCACCCCAGTACCAAAGGAGCTCTCTCCGGCATGGGGTGCATAGCAGAGTGTCCTTCCCAGGTGAGGCCTTCCCTGACTCTGACGGGAACATGTGGGAAGCTGGGGATGGGCCTAAGGAAGGGAGTCTGCAGGCTGCTCTCACGCATTGTTTCACTGGCAACCTCTTGTCTGCTTCCCGCCCTGTAGAGTGACACAGGCCTGGGGAGGGGGGCGGGAACAGGGTATGGGTGCCTCTCCTCTCCTTTTCCCCAGCTGATAGGGGAAGTGGTTTCTGTTTGAGGGAATTATTGAGGGATCAAGATAGGCAAAGAAGCTGGAAAGATGGTCACAGCTGTCAGTGCTAAAAAGAGTGACAGAGTCTGAGGTCTGTCTGTCCACTAGGCCAAAGGTCTGAGTCTGTGCTTAGAGAAGGCAAAGGACAAGCTGTCTCCTGGGAGGGGAAGACCTGATACACAGGGACACTTAGTCACTGACATCCAATGGCTGTCTGTACTAACAGAGAAAGCAAAAACGAATGTCTCAGATCGCCCTCCCTGGCCATCTTCTGCCTGCCCTTTTGTCACTGTCCAGGTGGGAAGGTGGTCCCCTGAGGTCACGCGTGGATGCCCATCCTCTTGCTTTTCTGCTTCTCTTGATGACCTCCAGCCACTGCAGCGTCGCTGCTCCCTGCTGTTGCCTGCCCTCTGCTGTGGCTCAGACCCAGCCCTTTACTTTGCAGACTGCACCTCAGGGGACAACCCAAACGGGAAGCAGCTGAGGCGAAACTGCATCATCTACCGACCCTGGTTCTCCCCGTATAGCTACTTCGTGTGCCTGGACAAAGAGAGCCACCTAGAAGCCTGCAGCCTCCCAGAGGCGGAACAGGATGAGTGCAGAGGGGATGGCAGCCTTCTTGAGGACGAGGCTGAGAGTATCTGCTCCTCCTCTTCCTCCCCAGAGAACACATGTGCCCCAGAAGCCACTAGAAAAACCAGGCACGGCCTGGACTCTGTGGATTACGTCACATCCCAGGACATCCTAATGGCCTCCAAGTGGTACCCAACTCAGCAGAACGGCTACAAATGTGCGGCCTGTTGTCGCATGTACCCCACGCTGCACTCCCTTAAAGGTCATATCAGGTGGGGGTTTAAGGAGGGATTCAGCTGCAGGGTGTACTACTGCAAGCTCAAAGCCCTCTGGAGCAAAGAGCAGAAGTCCCGGCCCGGGGACAGGCTCTCCTCAGGCAGCTGCCAGGCCTTCAAGTAGTCACCTCAGGTAAACAGGGGAGGAAGCCTATTGCTGTGTCTAGAGAGATGCCAATAAATCGGTTAGTCACAGCTTCTGTCAAGTCTGGGGTCACCTTGCACCACCTGCCGTTTTTTCCAGAGCCCAGTCAGTCCTTATTCCCTTCATCCAACAGTTGCTTAGCAACCCCAGGCTCAACTCCCTGCCGGCTTCCTCTGCTCTCCTCTCCTCTCTCCTCTCCCCTCCTCCCCCAGAAAGGACTGTGCCTGAAGTTTGGGAATATCCTCTCAAAGTAAGTTGTCTATACCAGCAGTACAGGCAGCCCGCCCCCAGAACCGTGTTAGAAATGAAATTCTCAGGCCCCATTCAGATCTCCTGAGTTAGGAGCTCCATCCTAACCAGCCTTCCAAGTGTCGCTGAAGCAGCTGAGAACTGAGAACCGCTGCTCCAGGATCCTCGCCTTCTGCTTGGCCTCTGTAGGATCTGCTCCATCTCCACCCTCCAGGAGCATGGCAGGCTGGACTCTCCTGTATGAGCAGTGGGAAGCCTGGCTGCAGTCTGATGGCTTCCTAGATGTTAGATCTTCCGACAGGTGGGGTGGAGAGAACAACAGGCCCCTGGGCAGAGGCAGCAAAGGGATGAAGAGGAAGGGCCCATTCTCACTGCACACATACGCTGCAGTGGCTCACTTAGGATGGGCATCTTTTGCTGAAATAGATGACAATCACCTTTCACCCAGGGGATACTGTTTCATGGCTGTTTTTCAAAACAGGCAGATAAATATGTGAGCTATGGCTCCCTGTTACCTAATGTGCCCAGGGGACAGCCCTGACCCTCACTCTTATTTCTGTGGGAGCCTCATTGCCAATCTGACCCAGAAACATGGGTGAGATCAGCCCATTATGTATTTCCAAAAGGAAAAGGACAAAAGCTGAACACTTACTGGTCATATTTGCATGACTTATTTACCTCTCGCTTCAGCTCCCGATGACTGCATGGGTCCTCCCACCGCAGCCCTGCATCTCCTTTCAGGGACCTGACCCCAACTTTCCTCCATCTTTGCCTCCCCGACAGGTGGGCTAGTATGTGGGCAGGGCGGCCACAGTCGCCCCCGTGGCTATACGGTAACTGACTGCAGCCCTGCTCTTTGTGCTGTTAAAGTATCGTTTGTCGTTCTTTTGTTGCTCAAAGAGAGGAGCTGGGCTCAAACCCCTATCGCTTCCTATGCAGCATGTTTTGTTTCCTGTGTGGACATTCTAGAATGGGCCCATTCAGACTCCGACCGATCTCATGTTCAGCTGGGACCCAGTGAAACTGTATAATCTTGATCCTAGTTATATTAGAAACGAGGGTGCAGTACTTTCTCAAGCACTCAAACATCTGTTGCTATCATGTATCCTAACATGATTTGGAGTTTGAAAGGACCTGGGGTCTGAAGCGACTACACAGATGGGACTGCCTTAACTCTACGGACATTTGGAAGTGCATAATTCTTAGTTGGGGGGCAGTCTTGCACAGGATGTTTAGTAGCACCTCCGATCTCCACCTACTACGTATTAGGATACCTTCCCTAGCTGTGATGAATGAAAATATCTCCAGATACTATCAAACATCCCCTAGGGAAACAAAGTTAGTCTCAGTTAAAACCAGTGGTACAGTGTGAGCCAGTAAGGCTGCCTGTATGCACCAACTGAGGGCACCACTTTGCTCCCCTTCTTCAGGGAATATGTGAATCCCTTCTTAGTGCCACACCCTTGGGAACATGTCACAGAACTGATCCCTCCTGGTTTGGGAAGTGGGTGGAAGTGAGAGGCATAGAAGGAGCAGGTGAAATAGAAGAAGCAAGAAAAGACCATGGAAAAGCTTTTAGAAATAAGAAAGATTTATTTAGCAAAAGCCACTAGACTAGTGACAACATCCAGGGAGTAAGTGCACTTACATTAACAGAATCTTTTCCCAGAGAGTTGATCCAACAGAGTTAATGACACAACAGTTTTGGGAAGTAGAGGGCTAGAGGGAGAGAGGGTAGGAGGAAGCAGTCAAGCAAAGAGTAAATAAAGCAATACAATTCCTAAACAAGATCAGTTGAGAGAAGTGGGCTAAGAAGAGGTTTTACAGATAGCACTGACAGCAGGGGTATAAGGAATATAATTTTCAGTCTTTATATGCAGTCCATCCTGTGCAGAAAAATTCTTTTCTGGCTCTGCAACTGTGAGACCTGGTGTGACCAAGTCTGTTGGCACCTAAAGCAGGGTGGGGCAGGCACCAATAAGGGAAGAGCCCCTGGTGTCCACATGTTCTCCACATAGGGCAGAGCAGAAGGACAAAAAAGAGAAAGGCAGGGCTGAGTTAGCAGAGCAAGAAGCAAGAAGGGAAGAGGACAGAGTGATGTCACTGGCAAATCAGGTCTGTAACATTCCCTTTCCTGTCCAGTTGGCCCTGAGGGAGGTCGGTGGTTGGTGACCCTCCCAAGCTCCTAGATCTTTCCTTGGTCTCCCATCTCCACACATCAAGTGTGCACACATTTGGGTCACACGGGAGAGGGTGTCATACATGAACAAATACTCCAGGGAAGACTTGAATCAGGGAAAGTGTAGGCTTGAGACAGGTGGACACTGGGGCAAAAGCCTTGAACAGGTCCCAGCTTAACATCAGATGTAACTGGTATTCCCATTTCTTTTTACTTGCCTCTATTTCCTTTATTCTTTCCCTAGAAAGCTTTTCAAGACCATTTAGAAATTACCTTCCTTACCTACCCCCTAATCACATCCACACAAGCCTCCTCCAACCACAGTTCGTTCACAAATCCACTGGCATCTGGTTCCACCCTTAACTCCTGCCTGCAGGTGGTCGGGCTCAAGAAAACAGACTTTCTACTGCCTGGACATGCAAAAGACTGATGGTCTCAAAGGTCTCAGACTCAAGGAAGCCAAGGTTAGGGTTCCATAAGCTGAGCAGGCTCAGACAAACTGGATGCCTGATGGCTGTTTCTCTAGTTCTGCGGATCGCACACCCTTCTTTCCCTGTGTGTTTGGACCTATTTCCAATGCTTAATTAGAAAATGAACTGTCTCTCCAACTGAATGCATGTTAGGAAAAAGGACACAAATCTACCATTGTTTCAATCACCCCAAAGATCCTCTATCTCACCTCTCCAGTCACTTCTTGCATATCTTTACCTTCCATTACACATGTGTAATCCCCGTCCATACACACATACACACAGACACACACACACACAGCACCTCATCCCATTTCCATTGAACACCCTGATGCACCGGGGGAGGTTAATGGAAAGCTGCACTTAACTCCTTTAGTTTGGACTTTCTGATCTGGATTGGCTATAAGAAGGTGGCACTTGCATTTATATCAATTCCAAAGCAAATCTGGGGTTGCAGAACTCCATTGGGTTGACTGCATCCTTCTCAGTAGGTGCTCTAATACAAAATACTACAGCCTGGTCTGCAGCTAGTGGTCTAGGAGGGAGACTTCTTCCCCTGAACACAACATTCAAGCATATCCCAGCTCTCTCTTTAGGCATCTCAAAATCTATTAACAGCCACTTCTGACCTTGCAGGAGCAAAAGGAGCGTTTCTTCCTGGGCCCCACCAGCCTGATAGAGTGGCACATAAAACTTCTCACAGGTGTGCTCAAGGCATGCACCCACAGAGCAAGGGGCCAGGGCAGCACAGCTGTGGTCTCTGATCTAAGTGGCAGTGATTCTTGAAGAGTGGACAAAAGTAGTCTCAGCCATCAACCTCCATCCATTTTTGTTTTGTTTTGCAGTAAAAATCGACTATTAGCCCAGTGGCCGGGACAGGAGGAGAGGTAGGGCAGGGGGCTCTGGGTCTCTGAGCTTTCAGAGCAAAGTGCTATAAAAGGGTTGCTGACACAGCCCCTGCAGCAGGACACAGCGGGGATGTGGGGGTACTTCCTGACCTCTATTTACAGAGGCCAGTCTGCAGGTAGGAGGCAGGTGGGGCAGGGCTTGCAAACTGAAGTATCGACCTAAGTAACTTGTGGCTGCAAACAGGCTGTCCTGACCCTGGGCTCTTGCAGCAGGACCTGAATGATGTTAATAATCTCACACTCCATACAGAAAATGTTTGCATCCCATTTCCTGCAATAATTTATCCACTGTGACTTGGGACACATTCCCATCCATACTCATATGAAAAGCAACAGCCTGGAACATTCAACCTCTACAATCTCAGCAAGGGTCTGGAGAAGGAATTCCCCTGTAAGGTCAGGGGAGGTTTAGGCAACTGGTAGCATCCTGATATCCAGAAACAGAGTACCTAAGAAGGTACCAATGGCTTCCCTTTATGGTCGGGACCACGGAGACAGGGAGTAAGGGTCCTCTAGGGCATCAAGTGACAAGTGATATGGGGCAGAGGAATCTGAGAGTGCAACAGGGATGGGGGGTCTTCCAGCAGCCTAGTGATATGGAGGAGGGACCCTCTCCCGGAGCCATGGGCCCAGGAAGGCCCTGCTTCCACCATCCTTTAGTCACAGCAGAAGACAGAACTGATTCACCTCTGGGAGTCCAATTTTCCTCCCCGTTTCCCTCCAAAGCAGCATCCTAATTCCCCTCGACGCCTCCACCACTCTCCTTGCCCCTGGGTGTTATCCTCAGCAGCACGCCTTCCCTGGACACCCCTACCCGGGCAGCAGCAGCCGGACACGGCTCCTGGCACCTGTCGGCGTCTCCTTGCCCCGCACCTACACGGCGATCTCATCATCCAGGCTGTCGCCCAGCTCCTGCCTGGGCAGGACATTCAGCAGGCGCGGCAGCTCCTCCTGGGACCACGAGTCGCGCTCCTCGCTCTCGTCAGTGTTGGACTCGTACTCCGAGGCGATGCCTGACTCTCGGAACTTGAGGAGCTCCAGGCCCCCCAGGAGAGGCTCCCCCTGCGCCGGGGTTGGGGTGTCCTCGGAAGGGAGGAATCGGAAGCACTCCAGCTTCACCAAGCAGTCGCGCCTACCTAAGGGGCTGCCCACAGGGGGCGCAAAGTCAGCCAAGCCCGCGCCCAGCGGCGGCGGCGAGTGCAGGTCCTGCGGCTTAGGGGTCGTGGGGTCACAGAGCACGGGCAGGGCTCCCGAACGGAAGGTGATCTCCAGCAAGCTGTCTTGCGAGCCCACTGCGGGGAGACAAGAGGACAGGGGCCACGTCAGGCAGGACTCTGTTTTGGAAAGGCAACTGGCTGGAGGTGGGCTTCAGTGGTAGCATGTACAAGTCCCCAGGTTCAGATCCCTCCCCACACCCCCCTAAAAAGAAGAAAACGCATGCCATGGGCCCTTCTCTGTCCAAGTTCACAGCAGCCCACCAGGGTCTTACACTGCACCCCAGCCCCACCCCCAAGGACTTCCAGAGACTGGCAAAGGCCACAAGAGAACCACGTGATCATTTAGGCTGGCCACTGAATGCTCTGCCTGGGGCCTGCAGTGGGAAAAGGTTATCAGCTCAGTGCCAGCCTCTAGGAGGCTGAGGCAGGAGGACCCCACGTTTGAACCCAGCGATTTAGTGAGACCTTGTCTAAAAAAAAAAAGACCGGGGGGAGGGGGTAGCTCAGTACACAGGCTCTGGAAAAAATAATCGCCAGTACTGGAAAAAAAAATTTTATAGCCTTTTTGTAAATCAGCATTAGTTGGATAGAACAGAACCCCAACTAACGAATCACTGGACAAGCCAGAGAAGCTTACAAAATGGTAAAATGGTTACCGGCCTTTGGGCCTTTTCTAGAATACAGACTCCCATCCCTGCACTATTTCTACTGGTAAGAAATCTCTGGGCTGGGCTCAGTGATACACATCTGTTTTTTAAAGCCCATGAATTAGTTTGGGAGAACTTATTATATAAATGGAAAAATACTTATTTTGCAGTTAGACCAGGTTGTGAATCTTGGCTCTACCCATGTGACCTTGAGCTAGTTACTTAACCTCTGATTGCTTATCTGTGAAATGGGTACAACAACATCCACCATTACAAGGATCAAATGAGTTCTTATAGATAAAAATACTCTGGCACAGTTTCCAGGATTCTAGGTGACCAGTGAGTCCATCATCACCTGACTCTGAGCATGCATAGGTACCATGAGGAGGCTCAATAAGGAGGCAGGAGACATGCTTACTCCTGCTGCTTCCCAGCCTGCATGGAGACAGCTGGGTGCACAGGCAGCACCTCTGGCCAGGTGCTGGACACTCCTGCCACTGACCAGCAGAGCTGTCTGGCTATAATGACTCTGTTGCCTTGTCTGTTAGATGGACATATGGCTATCAGCTTTGTCTGTACCAGAGTCGTGAAACACAGTGTGGAGATCTCCCAGCAGAGCTCACAGAGAACAGGACATGCGATACGTGCTCTGCATATTTTCTTGGAAAAGCCCTCTGAGAAAGATACAGGCTGCCTTAGGATGTACAGTGCCCAGAGCCCTGTCAGGTAAAGGCAAGATGAGCAGATGGCAGGGACTTCTGGGGAGCACGAGGGCCAGTGCTGGGTGTGGGGTTAGATGGCAGCCAAGGTCTGCTTTGGTGTTCAGCTGGGGTTCATGGCATACACAGACCGGACAAACAAAAGGCCTGTTTTCCCATGGGCAAGGTCAGGGGTCCAATAGAGCATCGCCCAAAGCCTTAGGGAGGAAACATGTGCTTTGCTAGCATCCACACAGAGAGGTGGAGGGGCTGGACAGGGCCCTGGCTTACTGGCGTTCTGTCCTGACAGCTTCAGCTCCAGCTCCTGGACCTGCTTGACCAGCAGGGAGATGTGCTGCAGCATGTCCTTGTTCTGCAACAGGAGCTGGTGCACTCGAGCCTGGGCCTCCAGCCGTGCTGCAGCCTCAGCAGCCAATTGGTCCTTCAGCAGGTGAACCTGCAGAGAAGAGGAGGCAGGGAGGACAGAGGGGAGACGGGACACAGAGGAGAGAGGGACATGAATGTAAATGAGGACTGCCCGAGCGGCCAGAACCAGAGACGCCCTCTCCATTCCACTCAAGACCACAGCAAAGTGGACACCTGGGCTTGTGGCTCTGCAGCAGGAGCCAGAGGAGCTGGGTCACTGGGCCTGTGCATCTCTCTGTATGGGGGAGGCCATGAGCTGTCACTCAGGTACCAGGCTGTATCCCACACCAAGGGCCAGAGACAGCAAAGAGCCACCCTCCCACACACCACACTGCCCTCCACCCCCACTACGAACACTCAGCACAGCACTGCTTTGGTCGGAGTACTCCTGTCTCATTTTTTTTTTTAGAAAACAAAAACTCAGAGTAGTATCACAGTAAATCCCTACATAATCTTTCCTCTCCTATGTACAAGCATGATGAGGAATAGCAAGCATAGTGGCTCATAGTGGTAGACACCTGTAATCCCAGCACTCTGAGAGGCTGAGGCAGAAGGATCGCAAGTTCGAGTCCAGCCTGGGCAACTTAGGAAATAAAGAATAGATATATAGCTCAGTCCTGTATTTCTAAATGAGAGATCTGGGCATAATAAAGTCTGTCTTATGTCTGTAGAGGTCAGCTTCTTGGCCTGAGCATCTGTTCCTTGTTATTTCCCATGGAAGTATTTAGGACAATGCTTTCTTCTTGGAAGAGGCCAAATGTTTGCTGAGTGACTCATAGCAGGGCCTTATCTGACATCATCAGAGGTCTGTGGTAGATTGTCTACAGGAAGCCCCTCATCAATTCATGACCTTCTTGGGGAAGAACAGTGGGCAACAGCACACCTGAGCAGGCTCTGTGCCAGTAATGTCTAACTACCTCCTCTGGACCTGCGAGCCTCCTGTGAAACAGAAGTTATGGAGGAGATGGGGGAAAAGTGATACTTTAGTTCACAAACTTAACTCTTTCCACGATTCTGGTCACAGACCAAACTGGTTTCCAAGCAAATCAAAGGGGAAATGTGATTCAGTTCATGACCAATTTGATTTACGACTAAAATTGTGTTAAGAATTAAGTTCATGAACCAAGGCACCAGTGTGCGTGGACACCAAGTCACATAACCACTAGTAAGGCCCATCCATACATGATTCTTGTGCTAGGAGGTGAGTCTCTTGTCTCAGGATGCCGCTGAAGAGAGGAAACTAATAAATTTGGAAACCTAGTTTATGGGGAAAAGTGTTTTCTTGGACCAAAACATGGTGTGGTCAAAGGGCACAAAGTCAGGCTAGACAGGAGATGGAGGAGATAAGAAACATGGTGGGCGGCAGTCACCTTTGCTGATTCTCTTGCTCAGTAATAAGTGTCCTAGATGTCTAAAAATCAGTATGCTCCACAGATCCACCTTTTTTCTGCGATCGTCACCACCCCATGGTCTCACTGAGTCTGACTGAGGCACCCAGCGGCCCCCGCACCTGCCCCGCCTGGGAGCCAGCAGCAGGGAAATCATACTCTTGGGCGCAGTGCCTGTTTCCCTCCCTGGCCAGATTTGAGGACCTGACCTTGCAGTTGGCTTCACTACTCACCAAATGGAGCCACTAATGAGACTAGCTGTCACTTTCTATTAGTGGCTCCCCAAGGGCAGGCCAATCCTTCCCCCAGGGAGATGATGCCTGAGGAATCTAAAGGAAATCTGTCCTCCAAAAAGTGGTGCTAAGGACAGAGCTGTTATTTTGGTCAACATGGCAGCCTTTACTCTTTCCTATAAACCAAAGAAAGATCTGGAGAGGGCAAAGAACAGAAAAAGAAGGGTCATAATTTGGGTATAAGATAGTGGAAGGCTATTAAACCTTATCTTCCTTGGAAATTGAGGAATGGAGACATTTTACCTGGGAGTTCCCCAAATTCTACTGAGTCAAGGAATAGGGCAGGAGCTTTGGAAGCCTCCATATGTATTGGCAGAAGAAGGGCCCAGTGCATCCTCCATCTGCTAGTGCTATTCCTTATTCAAGTGAAGAGTATCACCAAAGGGAATCTATTACACAGGTGAACTGTTAATGGTTCATTTTGTTTTTGTTGGAAACAGAAATATGGAGCAGAAATGTGGAACCAAGTTTTCAGTGGATATAAACAAAAGCAGAGACTCCTGCATGCCACTGGTTGGGGCCTATTGAGGGCCTCCTACCCACATGCTATAGACTCAAGCCCCTAACCTTCAGTCTGAACATCCCAACAGAACCAGACACTCAAAAACCACCACGCCAGGTGCCATCATGATGGAACCTGTTGGATTCTCCCTAGGAAACCATAGATACTTCACTTCCCCCTAGACTCCAGTTTTCCCATCTGTCAACTGACAGAGCTGGCTAGAGGCTCAGACAGTCCATTCTACATATAGATGGACACAATGGTCATTACTAGAGGCCACTTGTTAAAGGCTCACTGAAGCAAAGTCTTCAGTTTCGCACTGTGAGCTCTGAGAATTAGACTTGAGGATGAAGGAACCTGAGTGGTTACTTCTTACAGAAACCAGAGAAAAAAGAAGGAAGCTTCTTTTATAGGCATCCAGGTTCCAACAGGAGAACAGTATCAACACATAGAAAGAGACCCTTGAATCAAATGCTCCCATCACAGATCTACTGGCACTAAGTGTGTGAGAAAAAGCTCCTGAACTTGAGTGTTGGCTGTCTCAGATTATGTAAGAATTTTTCCCTGCAAATGCAGTTATCCCATTTTAGGAGCAACCCTGCTTCAGACCTGAGAGCGTGGAAAGCACTTCCTGCTGCCGCTGCCCTAAACTTACATTAATGAGCCCTTATCTCCTGCACCTGTCAGAAGTGGCACCAAGCATAAGGCTCAAACCTCAACTGCGGAAGGCAGTGCTGCAGGAGAATCCAAATGAGGCCGGGTGGGGAGAAAACAGCCTGGACTTCCCCACACTGTAAAGTGAACCTGAAGCCCTGAAATGAGCGGCTTTCTCCCAGTCTCTGTTGAGGCTTATGCTGTGTCTGTGTTTTGCTTTCCCCTTGACAGGAGCAGAATGCACCGCCTCCTCCCTCCCAGAGGGACCTTCATTTGTACTTAGCATGCTTCTCTTTCAAGGAAACACCTTTCATGAAAGGAGAGCACGTTCATTTCTGCAAAGGCACGTGCTAGTGTCTCTTTTCCAGAGCTCTGTCATCTTCGGCAACGACTGTTCCTCTCACAAAGTCAGGACACAGCCCTCCATGATCTGGCCTGAAGGCAGCACTCAGTGCTGGAGTCTGTTTCTGTCTGCATTCTGGCTGCTGTACAACATGCATCAGTTCAACCCTGCACCCTCCAGCTTTGTACCACTTCCCACAGTTCTGTCGCCCACCCTCAACGCCCCCCAACAACATCAGACCACTCACTCTCCAGCCTACTTGCCTGGACTCCAGCTCCTCCATCAGAAGTGGGGGCAGGGCCAGGCTGAAGTTAGGGAGCAGTGGGCACATGGAAATGGCAGTGGAGAGAACCAGAGCAATTTGCCCACACACACACACCAGACACGTAAGCAGAGGCAGGCGGCACTGGCGCTGTCTCGCCATGCATATGGCAGGGATGGGGGCAGGGCACGCCAGGGTGTTGGGGACTGGGAGAAGCCACAGGGACGGATGCTAACTCTAGGACCTGTGGTGGGGATGCGCAGCACTGTCAGCACTGTTCCTCTAACTAGCTATTGCACACACAAGGGCGAAGCATAAACAGCCGATCACTTGTTCCTAAATAAGCAGAAGTGGCAGCAGGTAGAGGGAAAATCTTTAAATAGCAATAATGAGCTGCACTAACATTTCCCCATAAGCTAGGCGAGGAATTGGCAAACTGTGAACAGACCTGCCCTACTTAATTGCTGCCAGCCAGCCACAATGCTCAGATCCATTTGGGAGCCATGAAGGCCCAGCACACAGCCATGCAGGCAGCAGCTACATCCCAGGTAGGATTCAAGGCATGGATTAAATCTCATTCACCCTCCTTGCACTTCAGGTCAATCCAAAAGCAGGAAGCTTGTGCAGCCAGGCAGGCCTCATGCTGGGTTGGGAGAGCAGGTCAGAGGGACTTGGTTAATTCACTATTTACACACTGAGGATTGATCTGGAAGTAAAGAGTTGGCTGGACATCTCCTGTCTCTAGAACTTTAAGATCCCTTCAAGACCAGCTCTGAACAAACTTGGGGAGAGATCTTGAGGGTTTAGACCAAATGTGAACACTGTGGAAGAGATCTAACTCTGGTCCCAATAGCAACTGCAGAATCAGACTGGCCTGGAAGAGTGAACAGGGCAGGAGACATACATAATGCCACAAGTGACCCCAAGACTACCTGTCTGCTGAAACTGGGGCCTTATCCTTAGAATTTTATTCAGGAACAACGCAGGAGAGCTTGGATGCACACAGAGCAAGGGAAAATGTGATCCTACTTGAAATGCGGAGGTCACAGTTTTAATTAGTGAAATTCTGGGCACTCATGGTAATTCAATGAAGAAAGATAGAAACCCTGCTTTCTGCTGCCGGAGAGTTTGACAGAACAAGTACAATCTGACTTCATACTGGAGACTGGAATCTGGCAGAAAGACCATACATGCTGAAGTTGGTTAATTTCAAATGTGTCAAAGACACTAAGATGACCTATTAACCACCTACATATCTTAATTATTTTACTCAAGGATATGAATACTTACCAAAAAAAAGCCCTTGAGTCAAATCCCACAATGAAAGTGCACAAAAAGAGTTTTCAAAGAAACCTCTAATTGAAGGCTAGTTTAAGACTGAATCCACCTGTGGGCAGGCTAGCTGAAGGGATAATACTTCACCTACAAAAGCAAGACACAGACAGAAGGAAGGAAGGGAAAGACTGACTGATGAGGACACAAGAGAGGGGGAAACGAGTATGTTTGAGAAGCTATCAGATGACCTCAAGATCCTGTCCGATCTGAAGATCCTGGAAATCTACTGCTCTTCCCAAAGTGGGAACATGGATGCTCAATGGTGGCTCTTTGGTGGCCTTTCGTCATGTTACTGCTTGAACTGAGAGCCAGGCAGGGTACTGTAAGCTACATCCAACAGATTCCAAAGGAATGAGAGGCTAAGGCTGAGAGCGGCTCATAGAGTAAACCCCAGTCACCACACCGTTCACTTCCTCCGAACTCACTATCTTTAGGAGAGAGGTAATTAAAACAGGGCCGGGCTCAGAAGGCTTGAGTCCATGCCAGGAAACCACTGTAGGGTTACATGCTGGCGGTGGCAGACCTGTGCTACGGTGTAGGTCTTATTGCTTCGTACATTCAGTGCTTCCTTCAACTGCCACAACAGTCTTGTTGTGTGTCAATTACACATTTGCAAGTAGATTTTCTTACTTAGCAGAGACTCCAAATTATCAGAAGGCCTTTCTGATAATATAACATCATGAATATGCATCAAGCCTACTCTTAGATAAATAATAATTACTTGGCAATTGATATGCTCTAAGCGAAAAAAGAATTATGTTTGGAGAATGCATTTCTATTCAGTGGGAAATCTTTGGAAATGATGTGGCTTTGTGCTGGAGCACTTGAGCTCTGTACTCCTGTCATCTGTCACTCTAGGGAAGAGAAGGGGGAATCCTCAGACTGACACACCATCATTAACCATAGGAAATGAGTTCTTTTAACAAAGAGGACTAATTTTTTTCTCCAACTATAAGAAGCCACTAATGATATTCCCTCTTCTCTATTGCTGTCTGGGGAAACATCTGCAAATCCTCCTTAGTACCGCCTCAGGTTCTTTGGTTTCACAGTCAGAATTTTTCTTAAATGCCCTAGTTCCAGTGGGAACAATGTCCCACTGAATCAACTCTTCTGAAACTGGGTGCTAAAGTCTCTCATAAGGCTCCCATCAGGCTCAGTTCAGTGGAGAAGGTCACAAGAAGGCCTTTTCAAGGTCAAGTCACAGCCAATCTGGTAGTGGCATGCACTGCCATTGGAAAGTACAGCTCTGCCTGCAGAATTCACTCCCCTCTAAGAGCCAAAAGAAGAGTACACGGATGATACAATGAAGATGAACAAATACTCTCTGGAAAACTCTGCACCCTGAATTTTGGGCTTAGAAAACCTACGCAGCCAGTCTGACCAAGTGGATTCAGAATGCCTGTGCCGGCAGCCGCCATTCCAGTCCCCACATCAGCTCTCCCAAATCCTGACTGCCCCATTTTCCTAATTACCTTTACCCACCACTCATGTGCTGAGCCTTCTCAGGATTCAGACCTTTAAGTGAAATGGATGAATGTGTCTTCACCATTCCCAGTTGTCCAAGTAGAGATAAAGCTCAGACTCCTAAATTCAACGAAGATGTGGGCTGCAGTGCCCTCCACAGAAAGCAAACAGGAGCAGTCTCTGCTAATAGCTGGAAGGGAAATCAGCTCACCTCTCTCCTATTAAGTAGCAGTGGCCCAACAAGCCTTCAGGGCACAAATACCACCTTGACCCCAAGAGCAAAGCCAATTCTTCTCATTATGGCTCGAATAATCTACCTACATTTCTGTAAATTCAATCTCATTATAATGATTTCAAGGTTAGTACTGCATCAAATACTGCCCAGAATAAGAAGATCACAGGTGCAGGCTCGGACACCTGTTATGAACAAGGAAACTGAGATGCTAGAGATGTCTTTGCAAGGATGTTTGGCACAAATTTATACTTTGGGCTATTTTATGAATGGTATCTTGAAAGTCTCACTTGTCCTGACTCCCAAAGCATTCTTTCCCAACTCGGCACCAGGAAAACAAGGTAGGAAAGGAAGGTGAAATTGTGTGCATCTTTTTCCTTGGTAAGTTGATGTCATTATCCAACATATACAGCCAAGCCAGCCAAGCCCAACTCAGAGCGGGGGATACATGGGAAACCAAAATGTGTTTTTCCATTTCACTCGCATCCCCTATCTCTCCCTCCCAGCTCCTCCACTTCCCCAACTCCCCAACAAGCAATGAACCAATAGCATGAGCGATTCTTTATGGCTCCCTAGATTTAAACCTGCCCTGAGCCCCTTGCTAGGGAAGGTGCATCAAGCCCATGAGAGTGGAGCCTGCGAAGTAGGGAGGAGGCTGAGGAGAACCTGGGCCACAGCCACTTGTGTCTGCTGCTGCTGCTGCTGGAGGAGCTGCTGGAGGAGCTGCATCTGGTGGTGGGTAGACAGTGGTGTCCCAGTGCCCAAGCCTGGTGGCTTCGAGATCGAGGAGGGCAGCAGCATGTGAGGTGAGGCTGTCAGCATGGGGTCCTGAGGGTGGGGTGAGACCTGAGGGAGAAGAGAAGACAGGATGTGACAATGGGGCAGGGTCACCTTTAAAACTCTGCACTCTTCATGACATGGGCATGGGCAAAATGAGATGGTCCACCTAGAACATATGAGCTAGAGATGGACTGGAATGGGGCTTTGGGGAGGAAGCCACGTGGCTGCCTATGCTTGGACACCACAGTGAGAAAGGTGAATCTGAACACCTCTGTGACTGGTCCCATGTGGCTGCTCCCATTCCCACTGCTTCCCTGTCACCACAGTTGAGTTCTTTGAGGTTCTAGACTTAGAAGAGTCTATTTCTATAAACACATCTCTCTACCACCCTACTATGAGAATAAGAAGGGAGCAACTCAGTCTGTTCATTCTGTCCCTAGTGTTCCCTCCTCCAATGTCTGAGATGTTTCTTGTCAATCGGGCATTAAAAAGAAAGAGACCTGGTGAGGCATAGCTGCCTCTTGTCTGCCTCCATGTTGCTGCTACACAGTGAAAATCCCCAGGGAGGAACATCTGCACACAGAATGTTCAGTGGTAACCATTTCTGACTTCTCCTCTTGCTGGACACTTTTACTAAGGCCGCTACAAAGGCAGTTCCTATGACTCAGGCTTCAGTGGCAGGATGACACATTTCATTTCTTGTGGTCCTGTAGCTAGTCCCTCTTCAGATGCCCAAGAGGATGGCATCCAGGCACGGAAGGCCACTGTCCCTCTCATAAGATTGACCAGGTATCAAAAGGAATGTCAGCCACTGTCCTCCTAACTTCCCAGACTTCTCCTTTTGATGAGCTGCTCTGACAGCCTTCACCTGAGATAAGGCATAGTCAAGGTGAGAAAAGCACAGAAGCAGGCTGTGAACCAACAGCTCTTAAAGTGGGAACAGCACTTTGGGTTGGCAAGGTTCCTTAATGTAGTTGAGTGAAACCACCCTAGCTGTTGGTCAGATCTTTTGAGCTGTCTTCAAGTCCAAATTTGGTCTCACGTTCATAGTTGCTTTTTGTGTATATTACAAAGCAAAGCTGAAGATTAAACTCGAGGCCTTCACACTGAGATATATCACTGCCCCCAACACCCCTACTTTTAATTTTGATACAGGGTCTTGCTTAGTTGCCCAGCCTAGCCTCATAATTGCAAATCTCCTGTCTCAGCCTCCCAGAGTGCTGGGATTATAGGCCTGGACCACCATGCAAGGCTAAATTCTTGGTTTTTAAATGTGGATCACATTAGGAACTTGGAAAGCCCTGCCTGTAGTATGCTAGACTAGCAATGATGGTGCCTGTCCTAAGGTGGTCTCTTGGCTTCTAACATGCAGTGGGCCAGTTTCCAAACTCAACAGTGCTGACACACAGTAGCATTAAAGGCACATAAGCATGAGAGCACACAGAGGGGCCTGAACAGACACAGCGCCCTTAACTAAGCCCCAGGGGCTTATGTGTATCACATGCACGTGCCAGGACCAGCCTTGCACTGATCTGTGCAGAGGTAAGATGGTGCTGTGTAGGGAGAAGATGAAAATCACAAACAGGTGGGAGCCCGGGAGCACAATGCAATCAGAAATGAGCCCCCACAGGATCCCGATACACGACAGTGTCTAGTGTGTCATGTGGGACCAATTCCACAGATGTCAGGTCCCTCTCAGAGGCCACGAAACATGCTCCAGCACTGCCCCTGTGCTGTGAGGTACCTGACTTTGAAGCTGAGTAACAGGGGCTAAAAAGCAACTCTAATGGCCTGAAGTTGAGACTGAGGCTGTGACACAGGTCACTCTCACAGGCAGCAGGGACACACATGTGCAGACCACCTGGATAGGCCACTCCTGCCTACCTTGGAGTCAGAGTGGGAGCCCCCTTCCTTTCCTACAGCATCCAGGTCAGTTACACCACGGCTAAATTCTAAGACGTCATTCCCAGGAAGTGGGACCTCCACAGCATCAATGTCAGTCTCCTCCGTGGTGGCCGTGGAAGCCCTCTCGGCTCCTGTGGGCTGGCGGCCTGCAAGGACAACAGGGAAGGGAATGGTGACATTTGAGAACAGTGCCCTCCTTATCTAAAACTTCAGTTATGTCAACCCCAGGGATGCCGCAGACTTCAGAACAGTTCACACATCTTTTCACTCAACTACATTAAAGAACCTTGCCAACCCAAACTGCTGTTCCCACTTGAAGAGCCATGTAAAGTGCAGAAGTAACGGGAACCTTTTCTTAGGGATGGATGGGTCAGTTTTGTCGGGTTGGTATGTTTTTATCCATGAGGTGTGGGGGCCCTGGAGGGTAGGGTATGACAGTCATCACCTCCTCCCAGTTTAGGAATGGGATACAGCCCAGGGAAACTACACTGTATAGAAGTCCAGAGACTTGCCTAGGTTAGGTGCAGAATGAGCTGTCGAGGAAGGTGCAAAGCACCTCCTCTTGGCCCAGCTTCTTGAGCTACAGCTCAATGTGAGGGGCAGGTAGGGATCCTAGATGGAGGAGGGAAAGCAGGGAGATGTGAGCCCCTCCCAATACTGTGCCAGTCTCCGAGCCTTCAGAGTCAGACTCCTCCTCGAAGCAGCAGATGCCAGAAGAGGCCTGCAGGAGGTAGCTGGGGTAACAGAAGATGGAGATGGCTCCTCTTCCAGTTTTTTACTTCCCACTTTTCTTCCTTTCCCATGTCCTTGAGCACAAACATAGCATACTGCTCAATATCAAACAAAGTCCTACTGTGTTTTTCTCTTTATTCCATGCTCTTCTCTCTTTCTTGGACCCTACAAACACCTGACAGTTCCTGAACATTTCACAGGAAATGTTTTATTGCTCTGTGTCTGGGTTTAGGTCCATCACTATTGTCTTCAAAAGTGATTTACTGAAAGTTTTCAGAGACCAAGCACCAACTGGGGAATGGAGCAGGCTGCCACAAAAAGGAAACACAGAGCTCACACCCCAGTGCTGAATCCAGCCCAGGCAACCAGGCCTCAGTCCTGTGAGCGCCTGCCTTGAAGAACACATGGTTCTAGGAATTCTTCCTTTGCAAATCCACACAAGTCATCTGGAGGGACAAGTCTGGTATTTCAAGTCATCAGCATGGTTATTTTTCTTCCTACCTCCTCCAAGAACTATCCAAGAAGATAGCTTGCTTAGGAGCACAAGCTGTTTAACAGAAAGGATGGCCCTGATGTGGACTGGGGAAGTAGCTCCTCTGTTCCTTCATGTGCCAGCAGAAAGGGAGCGCAGAACAGCCTGTTCTCCTCCATACTCCTGCACCCCGAAGTGACCTTGGCAGTGGATCAGGGGGAGCCCAAGGGGAGGGAGGAAGGATGGTGAGCCTTGGGTAATTTTCAGTAGGTAGATGGTGCTGATAACAGAGCATCTAGTCCTTTATTCCTGGCTAGGAATAAACAGGGTGAAGTGCATTCATCTGAGCAGAAAGTTTCCACCCACCATCAGGTGGAGCTGGGTTCCCACAGCTCCCTGTGCAGCCAGCACATGACACTGAAGGTGCCCTGGCCAACCCCCCTTTCCCTTTCCCTTTGCCCTTCCTTTTCCCTGGCCCTGTGTCCCAATCATCGGTCTCTTAAGAATCTGGCTCTAAGAAGATGCTCATAAATACCAATGAAAGAAAATAGTGTTGTGACAGGAGATTAAAATAGGGTATTAGGCTATAGGGGCAGGCTGCCTTCCCCAAGTCTAGTCCCAAAGATCCAAATAATGAAGATTAAAAAGATTCAAACACAAAGCTTGGTTATGTCTCCGCCTGAAGTGCTGGTAGGACCATCAAATCTCTCAGGTTCTAACCCTGTCTCTGAGGGAGTCTTAAAATTCCAAACTGCTCATCCATTCTGTCTGTACTAGTGAACTCCAAAACTGAAAACTATGGGAAGCTTTCTGAGAAGCTTCTTAACACCCAGCAGGTGCTCAGATGATCACATCTGGAGTCTTGTTGACTTAATGGGTACAGATTAGTGTACAGCAGATTGGTTAGAACTAGACAAGGGAAAGCTACCATAGATTGTGTGGTGTGTATGTGCATGCCTTTTCACACATAAGATGAGACCCAGAGAGGGGCCTCACAGCTAATGGGCTTCCTTAGGTTCCAGAAGAACAATAAGGAGATTCAAGATCTGCAACGTCCCCAGCTCCTACAAGACTGAGGGACATGAAAAGGCCTGATAACCTTGGGAGAACTAGGAAACTCAGGGAATGGGGTTTTGTAGCTTCCATATCATGGCCAAGGGGGGTACAACCAGGATTAAGACAGGGGGTTAGCAATGCTGCTGTCTGAACTGCTTGTTTCAACTTTTTCTACCTGAACATTAAACAGTAACTAGAAGCCATTAGACAAATGCTCATTTTGTTCCTTTATTCAATAAGCATTTATTAAGGACACTGAACATAAATATTAATAAGCAAAACCTATGTTTTTAGTGCTTTCCAGCCTCATAGGGGAAAACAAATGTAACCCACAGCTGAGGCCTGAGGGTATGTTACCTATAAAAGAGATGGCTGAGGTGCAGAGAAACAGAGAAACACCTAACAGGTGCGGGCTCAACAGCTCCTGAAGGAGATGCACCAGTTAAGGCAGGTGATGCAGTGGGTGTGGGGCAGGGAGGGCATGGGAGGCATTCCAGGCAGAAGGCAAGGCAAGTGCAAAGAAAAAATGATACAAAAATTCATGGTAGGTCACGGGCACCACCAATGGTTCCACAGAGAGGAACTTGACCAAGAAAAATCAGGATGGATTTTAAGCAGGTAATATTGAAAAACTTTCACTATCTAAAATTTCACTCTACAGATGCTGTGAGCGATAGACCCAGAAAGAAACACGCTACATGAGACACGTGAGA